CAAATAGTGAGAGAGAAAAAAATGACATGAAGAAAACAATCCCGTTCACAATTGTACGCCAGAAAATCGACTACCTAGGAATTACTCTAACTAAGGAAGTAAAGGACCTGTACAAAGAAAAATACCAAACGCTGCTTCTGGAAATAAAAGAGGACGTGAAGTAATGGAAAAATATCCCCTGTTCATGGATGGGGAGAATTAATATTGTCAAAATGGCAATACTTCCCAAAGCACTGTACAATTTCAATGCGATTCCTATTAGGATACCCATAACATTCTTCAAAGAAATGGAGCAAACACTCCTGAAATTTATATGGAACAATAAGCCCCCCGAAATAGCTAAAGCAATTCTTGAAAAAAAGAAAATGGGAGGAATTAACCTCCTGAACCTCAAACTCTATTACAAACCGCAATGATTAAAACAGCATGGTACTGGAACAAAGGCAGAGCTGCAGACCTATGGAATAGGGTTGAATATACTGACATCTCCCCTCAAACATATGATCACCTATTCTTTGATATAGGAGCAAGAAATGCGAAGTGGAGTAAGGTAAGCCTTTTTAACAAATGGTGCTGGCAAAACTGGATGGCTACATGGAAAAAATGGGCTCAGATCTCTACCTAAGGCCACGTACAAAAGTAAGATCAAAATGGATCAAAGACCTCAACATCAGACCGGAATCCATAAGGTACATTGAAGTAAAGTTGGCAAAACCCTCCATGACATTGAAGCTAATGGTATCTTCAAACATGTCACGCCACTGGCCAAGCAAGTGAAAACAGAGATAGACAAATGGGACTATCTTAAACTAAGAAGCTTCTGTACCTCAAAAGAAACAGTGACCAAAATACAAAGACAGTCAACAGAATGGGAAAGGATATTCGCTGAATATACATCTGACAAAGGATTGATATCAAGGATATACAAAGTTCTGGTTCAACTCCACAAGAAGAAAACATCCAACACCATCAAAAAGTGGGGCGACGAAATGAACAGAAACTTTTTCAAAGAAGAAATCCGAATCGCTAAAAGGCATATGAGAAAATGATCTATATCATTAATCATCAGGGAGATGCAGATCAGAACCACAGTGAGATATCATTTCACACCACAGAGACTGGCCCGCATTCAAAAGAACAAAAGCAACCTGTGTTGGTGTGGATGTGACGAGAAAGGGACACTCCTTCACTGCTGGTAGGAATGCCGTCTGGTTCAACCCTTTTGGAAAACAGTATGGACGATTCTCAAAAAATTAAAAATTGAGCTCCCATTTGACCCTGCAATACCACTCCTGGAAATATGCCCCGGAGAGGCAAAAAAGTATAGTCGAAGTGACATCTGCACTTGTTTGTTCATTGCAGCACTCTTTACAATAGCCAGAATCTGGAATAAGCCTGAGTGCCCGAGAATAGTTGACTGATTAAAGAAAGTTTGGTACATCTACACAATGGACTACTATGTAGCTGTTAGGAAAAATGAAGTCATGAAATTTACATATAAGTGGTACTACGTGGAAAACATCATGCTAAGTGAAATGAGTCAGAAAGAGAGGGACAGACATAAAAAGATTGTATTCATCTGGGTAACATAAAGTAAAAAAATAGGAGACTAATACCCAAGAACAGCTGTGATAAATACCAGGTTGTTCACTCCATGGCTTGGAAGCCAGCCGCACATGCTACGGGTAAAGGCAGCTCAGATAGAGAAGGGAGCACCAAATAAAGCACGCTGGGAAAAATCTGCCCAGGATGGGAGATGCATGCTGAAAGCACACTATAGACCAAACATGATTGCCACCCAATGTCTCTTCTGCAGACCACAACACCCAAAAGAATAGAGAGAACAAAAGGGAATTCCCTGCCACAGAGGCAGGGTGGAATTGGGGATGGAGGGGTGGGAGTGATACTGAGATTGGTAGGGGTGGAGAATGGGCACTGGTGGTGGGATGGGTACTCGATCATTGTATAACTGAAACCCAATCACAACAACTTGTAAGTCTACAACTGTACCTCATGGTGTTTCACTAATTGTGTGTATGTGGCCTACTTAGTAAGTGAGCATGACGACGATCACGACCATCCTGTTGTTCGTCGATTGCCTCGAGGAGGCCCCAGTAATGTCTCCTTCATCCTAGCCCTGATATTTTTTAAAAAGTGCCATATTCAAGGCTCTTTCAGGTTTAGGAGAATGAGACCCATCATTGTTACTGGTATTTGGCATATTGGGTACTCCACGAGGAGTTAGTCAGACTCTGCCGTGTGGGCAGGTTACATTCGGTAGCCTGCCAGTTTGTCCAAAGTAAGAATGAGATAATTAGATGTCTGGGAGCTGGGTTTTTTAGTCTCTGGGTCTTGGCCATTGATGGGATTACACGGCACCAGGGGGCCAGTTGGTGGGTGTGGCCCCTGCCTACTGGAATATTTATTATTTCACTAATAAAACAAACAAAAAAATGTGTGCTACATATGTATAATGGAATGCTACTCAGATATAAAAGTAAACATATTGCCATTTGCAATTAGATGGATGAAACTGGAGTTTTAATTTCACTGATAGTAAATTTAATCAGAAGGAAAAAAACAAATACATGATGATTTCACTTCTATATGTCAGATGAAGAGAAGAAGCAAATGACCAAAACAAACCAAAACAAACCCTTGGACTCTGAAGAATTGCAGATACCAGAGAGGAAGGTGGGGTCAGGTAAGAACAAAGGATAATGTGGGATCCAATGGACTATAGTGGGTTTTGGAGGGGTACTTTGAAAAGGCATAGACCTGTGATTCTGAATTACATGCACTATAAACCAATGTTATCTCACTAAATAGAAAAGCAGCACAGATCAACATAGAGACATTGGAAGTAAAACAGCACCAACAGAATAAGTATTTCGGGGGGGGGGGGAATGGGGAGCTTAATGCCAAGCAAAACAAGAGGGAAACATAGTTTAAAAAAGATAAAAACATGTAACAAATGTTTCACTGGAGGGTGTGGATAAATAGGGTGTTGACTTCCATGCAGTCAACCCAGGTTTGCTCTCTAGCATCTAGTATGATTCCCTGAGCCCTGCCAGGAGTGATTCCCTGAGCAGAGTCAGAAGTAAGCCCTAAGAACTGCTGGGTGTTTATCCAAAACCTCCCCCAAAAATTCCATATGAATTTAACTTAATTATCGCATTAATCAAAGTCATGTTAAACTACAAGACATAAAAGACTAAAAAAGCAACCATCTATCTCTATAGTTATCTTGTAAAATGATTGAGTGTGGATCATTTTTGTAAATAGTCCTACAACAAAAGTTAATAAATTGGTAATTGAAATGATGTATCAAGAAGAATAAAATAACAAGTTAAATACTGACTGAAGTTAGATTTAGTGAATTATAAAAATAGAGAAAGTTTGATTTTAATTTAATTTACATTAAATTTTAAAAGTTATATCAAAATTGAATTAAGACATTTTTTATTAATTTACTTATTCATCTAATATATTGGCTACACTAGCACATGACAGTTATGAATGGAGACATTACTGGCACCCACTCAAGCCAATCGATGATCAAGTGATCAACTAATATGTGATATATGCCTATTGGCTTGCTAATAAGTTTCATTTTGTTTTGCTTATCTTTTGTTTTGAGGCTATACTCAACATTGTTTGGTACTACTTCCTGTCTTTGCACTTAGTAATCACTCGAGATCACTTCTGGCAAAGACAGGTGAACTTATGGAGTGCTAGGTATCAAAACCGGGTTTGTCGTGTGCAAAGCATGTGCCTTCCTCACTGTACCATCTCTCCCACCCCCAAAATAGACTTTCAATGGTAAACAAAATGTAGAATAAATATCATATTTGTGTTTATTTTTATGATCCCCTGGGCTGGAACGATAGCACAGCAGTTACGGAGTTTGCCTTGCATGTGGCTAACCCAGGTTTGATTCCTCTGTCCCTCTTGGAGAGCCCGGCAAGCTACTGAAAGTATCCTGTCTGCACAGAAGAGCCTGGTAAGCTCCCCGTGGCATATTCAAAATGCCAAACACAGTAACAACAAGTTTCACAATGGAGACATTACTGGTGCCCACTCAAGCAAATCAATGAACAATAGGACGACAGTGCTACAGTGCTACAGCTTATAATGCCCACCCAAAATTTATATAATGTTATAATGAAATTACTTCAATAAAATGATTTTAGTAAATAACATAATCATTGTAAAATAAATGTTAAATAAAATGAAAAATCAAAATTGTACTGAATTGAAATTCCAATTGGATGACCAAAGTCTATTCTTATCAAGAATTAGTCATATTTTAACTGAAATTTAGAGCCCTGAGAGGTAAAAACAGTTTGATATTACATATTAGCATATCTGGAGGAGCTAACCATCTTCTTTTTTCCTTTTAATGGTTCCTTTACAAAGGAATCATATGTGAATCATATCCTAGTTAACAAAGGACATGTTTTAGAGTCCATGTAGTAGACATCACTTTAGTACTTGTTTTTAGGAAGTAGACCATTACCAGACTTTTTAATTACCAGAAAACAACTAAGTCAAATTCTAGAATTCAAAGAAGGATAAATAATACTTAATATGCCTCCTATCTACTAACTTTTTTACAACAGAGGAAAAATGGACTTTCAAGTATTCAAGCAAGTAAATAAATATAAATCATTCTTGGGAAAATACTAGAAGAGAAATGACAATAATTGACTAGAAGTTACAGTTTTGCTTTCAATGTGAAACAGTACCCCTATTTAAGTTTTGTTGTCTCAAATTATAACAGGACAGGTACCAGCATATGTTGACTGAATTGGAGTCCAACTAACAATTTTTCTCCTCTAGCTAATTAAATTGAAGTTTTAATTGCAATACACAGATATAGAGTATATAATCAAATCCTTGAGAATTTTATAGGTCATTCACTTGGAGCTTAAATTTAGAAACCAAGTTCTTTTTATATTAAGAGTTTTATTTAAATTAATTTTAATGCTTTTAACTACCTTGCTTTGTTCCAACTCAATTCGCTGAATGATTTCCTTTTTCAGTTCCTTTTCATATTTCTTGGCATCTGCCCTCGTGATGACTAATTTATTTTTGAAGAAGCTAAATTCTTCAGGTTCAAATTTCTTAAAAGTAAAGAAAAAGAAAACAACACTAAAATGAAATAGCAATTGCTTCATAGTTTTCCATGCAAACCATAATGAAATAAATTTCTCAAGCAGTTCAATAGTTGTTCATATTCAGTTACAGAGCTAAATGCAATTAAGGTGGCAGTGCTGTTCTCAATGTTATGGTTCTATAATGTTTTTCTTAGGTTCTACTAACTCAAAGTGTCTTTAATATTGCAGGTATTTTAAAGAAAAAATAAAAATATTAAAATGTTTATTTAAAAATCATTTTTCTTTTCATTGCAACATACTATTCTAAGTATTTTACAAATAATCATATGGTTATAATAGTCATAGAAAATATATGTAGTTTATTTGAAAATCATATTTTATTTCACATATTAAAATTCATATATAATTTAACTAATTTTTCCATTTCTGAAGCACGTTGAGTGACCTGGGTCACTGTAGTATAAATGAAATGTAGTATAAATGAAATTGGCTGCGTTTATTGATACAAGAATACTACAATCCATTAATTTGATCATTATTGATCATTATAGACAAATAACTGAAGATGTCAGTCACAGACTACACACATGTACATTCTCAATCACATACCTGTATTCTTGGACATTCTGGCCAAACATGTGCCATAGCATCATAAAGCATAATACTTTCTCGAGGAGAAAATTCAAGGTCTAAAGGAATTCCATATTTCTTTATCTAAAAACCACAAAATAAAAATTAATCATTTCAGAGATAATGAACAGAAAATTGCTAATTTTCCAAAATGCCTTATACTTACATGATTGGCTGTAAGTGCAGCGCATGGGTGATAGTATTCAATGACAAAGTCATTATCCGTGAGGGAACACACATACTTTTCTAAATCACTGTACCTTTCTTTGTGCCACACTGTAAAGGATTGAAATGATCAATGAATCAGTCTGTTGCCAATAAAATCTTAGAAATTGTGCTGTGCAGTGGGAAGAATGTTGAAAGAGGATTCAGTGCACCTACACTGCATACTGTGCTTTTGATTCCTCCTGCTCTGATCTCATGAGAACTTATCATTGTTTTCAATGTAAGTGATTTAACTATTTCAAAATAGGTAATATTTGAAATTGTTGGATCTTGAAGTTTAGCATATCCACCATTGCTATCTTTCTCAACTTCAACATGGTGCTTAATAGTCTAAGGTCAAGTCTCTGATCTTATTTCTTCTAAAATAAATAGATTCCAGTATTAGAGTAAGGACTAAATTTTTAAATATAATATCTACATAGATAGTTTAATGATCTCATATGTTACAAGCATCTACAGTGTTCTGAGTAAATCTGAGCTCCTCTTCTCCTATATTTTGTCAGGCATACCCAATCTAACTCTGAATGATGACTTCTCGATTCTTTTTCCTTGTTTCTTTGAATCTTTCAAGGAGTTTTGTGATGAACCAGAATTTTCCATTGTGAACTCAATATGTTGCCAATATCTTTTAGTTAATGCCAGCCATCTAGGTATATAAAAAAAACAGCAGCATTGTTGCATAAAATTAATCCACAGTATCACTTTTTATGACTATTAGGATGATTTTAATAGAATGAAATTTATCTTTATAATTTGAACATTAGATTAAAAACTATACTTATAATTTGATACATGAAGTAGTTCTTCCTTTTATACACTTATCCAGAGCTGAAGATTGGTTTGGGTTTTGTTTTGGTTTAGTTTAGTTTGGTTTGGGGCCACATCTAGTGATGCTTGGGGTAATTCCTGGCTCTGAGGATCACTACTCACTGTGCTTAGGGGTTTATATGAAATGCCACGGATCGAACCCAGGTCAACTCCATGCAAGGCAAAATCCTTACCTGCTGTATTATCTCTCTGGCTCCAGAACTGACATTTTAAGATCCCTCATAAAATTACTGACCAGGGTGGGAATATAATACAGGAGATAAGGCAGTTTCCTTGCATGATGCTTACACCAGTTCTACATGATATTCCTAGCACTTAGGAGTTACTTCTGAGGATAGAGACAGGAAAATCCCTTAGCATGACTGGATGTAGCCCAAAAATCAAAACAAAGGGAAAAAATGCATTGAACAATTATGGCTATTGTATCCACTACGGCTAAACTGTGACCCCATTTTGAAATTTTTTTCAATATTTTTATGTGCATATTTAAAAGATAACATTTTGAATTGTCTTACTCTGATCTCTAAGAATCAATACATTGAACTATAGGATGGGAAACTAACTCACTGTCACAGACAAAATCTTGAGGGACTAGACAATTGTGCAAATTATATCTAGTCAAATAATAAGAGGAAATGCTACCAAAGTAAATATTGACAAAAATTTTTAAACGTTAGTTGAAGAGACTTTTTGTTTGTTTGTTTGTTCCAGAATTACCTATCCATTAGTAGTAATAATGAATGCTAAACTCAGGCTTACTCTGTGAGATGTTCAGGATTACTTATAGTAGCAGAAAGTGCCAGAAAGGGACACCGAATCATCACTAGAAGATGCTCCCAAACTTCTGCTCCAATTTCTCCTCCAAGGCAGTGAACCTGGCAATGCAAATAAATAGTCATGATATAAAATTGGTTAAAAATGTTCCCAAGTGTTCGTAACTTGTGTTTGCAGAAACTTTTAATCATGTCTCTCACCACATACTGTAAAGTTTATTGACCCAGTACTGACTGTAATATACTTTGGTATATTAAAATTAATAGTATAATTTTATTGTGATAATTTTGTGAGATTTAATTATAATTATGTAGCATATCATCTTTAGATTCTAGACTTCTTTGCTCAGAGATACATTTGAAGAATTGTTCTATTTTGGGGCCAGAGAGATAATGCAGGGTTTAAGGCACACTTCTTAATTGCAGTCTACCTCTTTTCAATTCTACAGAGCACCACTGGGAAACCTCTGTCAGCTCCAACACTGGCACTGTAAGGACTGAGTATAACAGAATCATCAGTCTGGTTGCCAGAGAATCACTGGGAGCAACCTAGGGTCTCCTGAGCACTTCCAAGGAGCACCCACTAAAAAGATTATTCTAATTTTATTCATTTTATTTGCTCTATGCTTTTCATTGTGTAACTGTATTCTTTTATTTATTATTTCTACTCTGACAAGCTTATGAGTTGCTGCTAGAAACACTTTATTGACATAGCCTGCTCCATGTGTTCAACAGCCTTACTTTTTGAGACATGAAACCTTTTTCTCTAATTCTATGGTATACACTTAGAATATGAACTGTTTGTTTTTGAAATATTATCATCTCCTTGCAACTCTACTTCCACTGAAACACTTGATACTGTCAAACTTACTGATCTAATGAGCATTTCACATTGTTATTTTAATTTGGATTTTAGTTAATTTTCGTTTCAGCATTACATGGGACGTTCAGCAATCCTCTTTGTGATATTTTTATTATTTTTGAAAGTCTGAAAATTATTTTCAAAGTATTTTTATATTCTGAATGTTTTTGAATTCTGTACAAGCACTTTCTACTCAGGGACTTGTCATTTCCTTAATTTACTGATGTTTTGATTGACATTCTTTTTTTAAATTTTATTGAATAATTGTGAGATAGTTACAAGCTTTTATGTTTGGGTTACAATCCCACAATGATCAAACACCCATCCCTCCACCAGTGCACATTCCCCACCAACAATATCCCCAGTATAATTCCCCTTTCCCACCCTCCCCCTACCTCCATGGCAGATATGATTCCTCATACTCTCTCTCTAGTTTTGGACATTATGGTTTGCAACGCAGATACTGAGAGGTTATCATGTTTGGGTCATTATTTTCAGCACACATCTCCCATCCCGACCGGTTCCTCCAGTAATCATTTTCTTAGTGATCCCTTCTCTATTCCAGCTGCCTTCTCCCCTTTGCTCATGAGGCAGGCTTCCAATTATGGAGCAATCTTCCTGTCCCGTGTATCTACTATCTTTAGGTGTCAGCCTCATGTTGACTAAAATTCTTAATGTTAATATAGCCAAATATGTTGATTTTCTGTTATGTTTTGAGTTTTAAAAAGGTCTTCCTCTAATCCTCAATAACGCAGCTACTTTTTTCAGACATTCACATTCCTGGTGTTAGTGCTAGCAGGTAGAAAAAATGCTTGCCTTGCACATGGTGGTCCTGGGTTCAGTCCTCACCATTCCATAAGGTACCCCAAACCCACTAGTAGTGATCGCTGAGTGCAGATCCAAGAGCAAGCCCTGAGCACTTCAGGGTGTGCACCCCCTCCCCGCCACATCAAAAAGAAAAAAAGAAAAGAAAAGAAAAGAAAAGAAAAGAAAAACATGTTAACATTCTAAAGTTTCATTTGTTCAACTTTTTTCATTTTTATATTTAATTGTGGAAATAGTTTGTGTACGATATAAAAAAGTGACATAACTTCATTTATTTTATAGTTCCAGTTATTTTAGTTTTGCTTTCTATATTGTTTACTTTATGAAAAAAATGTCCATATGTGGAGGGCAAAAAAGATAGTACATTGGGAAGGGCACTTGCCTTGCACCATCTGGGATCTATCTCCAGCATTCTCTATGGCATACTGAGCACTCCCTGGAGTCCCCAAAACAAAATAAGATAAAATACAGGTTTCATTTATGGCTTTATAGATAACTTGTTTATATGTTTATTTATCTTTCAGTAGATAATTTTCTTAATTATTATATGTCTGTAATAAACCTTGATATATACTAGAGAAAATTTATTTGTCTTGATTTCTGTCCAAATGATCTTTTATCCTGCTTTTAACTGCTTAAAATTCATCTTTGTTAATTTTATACGTTTATATTTTTATATATTTAGAATCAATATAATCAGAGGGGTTTATCAGGAAATATACAAAAAAATTGTTAGTTTTAATTTTCATTATGTTTTGACTGTAAAGAAAAACTTGAGGATCTAATATCATGTATGTACAAACTGACCTATCGGTTAAAAGAAATAATAACATACTATTCATGTATGTTAATACAATGGATTTATCATGGGTAAAATAGGACCAATTTTATAAAAATTAATGGAAACTAGACAAGTATAGAATGGCATAAATACTGATGTTGATATTTAGTTCTTTATCATGTTATCAACCAATATTGCTTAAAATTATAATTTTTGCTCGAGCGGACCCAGTAACGTCTCCATTGGAGACTTTGTTGTTACTGTGTTTGGCATATCAAATACTCTCGGTAGCTTGCCGGGCTCTCCGAGAGGGGCGGAGGAATCGAACTCGGGTCGGCCATGTTGGCCACTTGTAAGGCAACCGCCCTACCACTGTGCTATCGCTCCAGTGAAAAATTAAATAATATTTAAATAAAATTATAATTATAATATTATTTAAAAATATGACTCATTATAATTAATTTTGGGGCTGGAGCGATAGCACAGCAGTAGAGCATTTGCCTTGCACACAGCCAAGCTGGTTCAATTCCTCCGCCCCCTCTCGGAGAGCCTGGCAAACTACCCATGACATATTCAATATGCCAAATAGCCAAACACAATAACAAGTCTCATGATGGAAACGTTACTGGGCCTGCTCGAGCAAGTTGATAAACAATGGAGGACAGTGCCAGTGACAGTGACAGTATTAAGTATGGGACATATTTATAGATATTAATTTTAAATTATTTAATATATTTATGCTATTGTGAATGCTATTTTAAATGTTTATTTATTATATTTTCTCAAGTGTTATTGGACTAAGTTATTTATTAATTTGAATGTTAATGGATAAAATACATAAGGATAGGCTCTTCATTCAAGTCTAACTATGTTAAAAGTATAAAACAAAAAGATAGTTTAAAAGGTATATTCAGAAATGATGAAAATACTTCATATGACAAATCATAATGAAAAGATGGAGTGACAGAACAATAGGAAAGGCACTTGTCCTGCATGTGGCCAACTAGGGTTTGATCCTTAAGTTCCGATTCTGTTCCCTGAGCCTGCCAGGAGTGATTCCTGAGTGCAGAGCCAGGAGTAACCCCTGAGCACCACTGGGTGTGGCTCCCAAATAGAACAAACTGTATCACTGGAAATTAAAATATATTTTACCAGAATCGTTTTAAAGTGAAGTATTTCTAAAGTTGCTACTTTAAGACTAACACTTATGTTTCAATATACATTAGAAAATAATTGAAAACTATTGTTGATGTTATAGTCTTTTACTAAATTTACTGTCTGCCTCATATTTTAATTGTTTTGTCTGCTAGCTTGTTTACTTTGCTTTGCTTTAATTTGTATTTTGTATTGTATGTGTATTAATTTAATTTTTGTTTTATTCTTTATTTCATTGGCATTACTATGCATAAAACTAACACTAATTAGGAGTATGAACACTCTGAATAGCAGTAGGACTATGTGTCTAATTTTAGTCATTCCTTCACTTTATAAATAAGGAAGAATCTCATAAATACTCTGTTTAATGTGATATAATTCTTAGTGCTGGAGAGATAATACAGTGGGTCAGTGATTGCTTTGCATCTGACAGAACTCTAATTTAATCCCTAGTGCCATATATTAGTGCCTAGTGCCCCTGTGCACTGTCAGAAGTGGTAAATCAAAAACCAAAAGTTGAATTTTTTCAGAGTAATGAAATTAACAAACCTCTAGCAAGATTGATCAAGATAAAAACCAAAGAATATATGAATAAATGATATTAGGAATATAAAAGGAAACATAATTACCAATGCCACAAACATTAACAAGATAGAAGGAGATTATGAAGACTTTTGTACCAGTGACTGGGGCATCTGAGATTAATTATAACTTGTCAAAATCAGCAAACATTAAAAAGAGAATAGGAGAGCATTCCAAGAAGAAAGGATATTGAGACAATAGTTGAAGGAGAAACAGTTTTTAGCCTATGAGATCCAGTCATGGATTTGGCTCCATTTACTGAAAAGAGTCTGCATTTTACTCCGTGGAAGACCCAGTGAGTTTGTGCATATTCTACTTAAAGAGTTTACAATACAACGGAAGTTTCAGAGCTTTTGCTGTGTCCCATAGGTTTTGGTAACTCGTGTCCTCATTTTCATTCATTTCCAGGAATCTTTTGATTTCCTCTTGATTTCCTTTCTAAGGCACTTGTTGTCCAAGAGTGAACTGTTAATTTCCAGGTGTTTGATTTAGTTTTCTGTTTTTATGTGTGATTTACTTCTAGTTTCAGCGCATTATGGTCTGAGAAGATTGTTGATACAATCTCTATCTTCTTAATTTTATGGAGGTATGTTTTGTGGCTCAGCATGTGGTCTATCTTGGAGAATGTTCCATGCACGCTTGAGAAGAATGCATATTCAGCTTTTTGAGGATGAAGTGTTCTGTATATATCGACTAAGTCCCTGTCTTCCATTTTTTCCCTCAGATGAAGTATGTCCTTGCTAAGCTTGAGTCTGGTTGATCTATCAAGAGGTGATAAAGCAGTGTTGAAGTCTCCCACTAGTATTGTGTTGCTATCAATGTCTTTCTCCAAGTCTATGAGTAGTTATTTTAAGTACTTTGCTGGTCCCTCATTAGGTGCATATACATTTAGTATTGTACAGAAACTTTCTCAAAGAAGAAATCCGAATGGCTAAAAGGCACATGAGAAAATGCTCTACATCATTACTCATTAGGGAGATGCAGATCAAAACCACAATGAGATATCATCTCACATCACAGAGATTGGCCCACATCCAAAAGAACAAAAGCAGCTGGTGCTGGCGCAGATGTGGCGAGAAAGGGACCCTGCTTCACTGCTGGTGGGAATGCCGACTGGTTTAACCCTTTTGGAAAACAGTATGGACGATTCTCCAAAAATTAGAAATTGAGCTCCCATTTGACCCAGCAATAGCACTCCTGGGAATATATCCCAGAGAGGCAAAAAAGTATAGTCTGCGCTTGTTTGTTCATTGCAGCACTCTTTACAACAACCAGAATCTGGAAAAAACCTGAGTGCCCGAGAACAGATGACTGGTTAAAGAAAGTTTGGTACATCTACACAGTGGACTACTATGTAGCTGTTAGAAAAGATGAAGTCATGAAATTTACATACAAGTGGTACTACATGAAAACTATCATGCTAAGCAAAATGAGTGAGAAAGAGAGGGATAGATATAGAAAGATTGCATTCATCTGGGGAACATAAAGTAACAAAATAGGAGACTAACAACCAAGAATAGTCAAGATAAATACCAGGAGGTTTACTCCATGGCTTGGAGGCCAGTCACACATGCTAGGGGAAAAGGCAGCTCAGATAGAGAAGGGAGCACCAAATAAAGGGTATTGGGAGAATCCTCCCAGGATTGGAGAAGCATGCTGTAAGTAGACTATAGACCGAACATGATTGCCACTCAATGCCTCTTTTGCAAACCACAGCACCCAAAAGGAGAGAGAACAAAAGGGAATGCCCTGCCACAGAGGTAGGGTGGGATGTGGGGTGTAGGGTGTGGGATGGATACTGGGATCCGTGGTGGTGGAAAATGGGCACTTGTGGAGGGATGGGTACTTAATCATTGTATAATTGAAATCCAAGCACAAAAATTTTAAGTGTGCAACTGTGCCTCTTGGTTTGTCACTAATAAAAACCAAAATAACAAACAAAAAAAGAAGTGTAGGGGGAAGAAATGAAAGCCCCTGGAGATTCACTGAAGTAATGGAGACAGGTATCAGTTTAGTGTTGGCATGCATCAGGATGAGGTGGAAAAACTGAAAAAGTTGGGCTTGCTAAATGCTAGGAATTTCGACTTAATGGAATAATGAAATAACTAAAGTTTGGGAACCATCAAAAAAAGAAAAAAGAAGAAGTGATCTCTGAGTAGAGCCAAGAGTAAGCTCTGTGTACTACTGGTTGTGACCCAAAAGCCCCACCAAATTCTTTGGCTAGAAGAAAAAATAAAGTCCGTGTCTCATTAATCATTTATGGTCCCAGTAATACATTCTGGAATACCTCTCCTCCCTTAACTATCACTCAGGCCTTTTTTTCCATTCCCACCACATTCTATGTATTTTACTACCAACAAAAAAGTCTACCTTCTCCATAAAATATATTGGTGATAATCTTCACAACTAACCCTATTATTTCCATAGTTATTAAGGCATAAAAGTTATATTATATAAAACATTTATAGTAAAGGTAATGAAAGCTGACATACCTCATCAAATATGACATATCTGATCCTTTTTGTCCACTTTTGATTATGAGGAGCAAGCAAGAGTATTTCCAAACACTGAGGCACTGTCACCAATATCTATTTTAAAAATCAGAAAATCATTACCTTTAATTTTTAATGAAATACTTTACATGACACAACTTTTTATTGATATTTCTGTTACTCAGCATTATCATTTGTGGGAAGATAAAATGATTTTTTGTAATAGATACATATTGCTGTTAATACATTTAAAATAGTTAAGTATATTTCATTAAGGTGTTTTCCCAACAGGCACATTTGAAATGTAAAATTATCACAATCTGAAACCTTACGTATTAAAGAAAAGTGTTTTCTTATGTGATAACTTCAATTGAGAAAAGTGTTCTACTTTGATTGTCACTGTCACTGTCCTCCCATTGTTCATCGATTTTCTCGAGCGGGCCCAGTAACGTCTCCATCGTGAGACTTTCTTGTTAGCTTGCCAGGCTTTGCCCTGTGGGCGAGATACTCTCGGTAGCTTGCCAGGCTCTCCAAGAGGGGCGGAGGAATAGAACCCGACTCGGCCGGGCTGGCTGTGCACAAGGCAAATGCTCTACCACTGTGCTACCGTTCCAGTCTACTTTGATTATGAAATAATATTCAAAAGTTGATTAAGTAATTAAATAAATTATGAAAATAGTCTGTATACTGGCATTCTTACTGGGACAACTGTAATATAAGCTATTATTATGTGTGAAATTAAGTGATATACCTGGCAATTCAAGACGTCATGTCGATAATCTCTTGTAAAAACTCCATACACCACTCGTCCTTCAGGCAATGCTTTAGTAAAAGAGCTGCAGACAGTTCCTACCACTTGGTTTACAAGAGCCTTAGGTCATAAAAGACATAATCTTCTATTTAGTTGTTATTAATAATACTATGAAATTGCCTAAAGCCAGTGCCTGAAATAATTTACATACAACAATCTGCAGTAAAAAAAAAATCTATATGTCTTTCTTGATGAAATAATTACTTTGCACCAAATACTTCTCTCTGGTACTTATTAAAGTTTCTCTTAATGTATAATACATTAAACTATGCTTAAGAATATGCTAATAAACAATAACTGAATGCCACATACGTGACATAGCTATTTATACAGGTAAAATGAGATGAAGTTCTTATGTAAAAATCAAATTGGAAATGCAATGATAAACATGTTATTTAACTTCATTAAAACTCAGTTACCTTAACTGTAAAGTTAGCAAATTGACATACCAAGTGACATTGTAAAATCAAGTAATTATGTAAGTAATTTCTCTCAATACTGGCATTAAATACCATGAATTCTTTTTAGGTGAAGAAAAACTTCATTTCTCAAAACTTATATTACATTATATTTGATCTATAAATGCTTTCCGTATTATGAATTTAGAGGTTTAACTTATGCCTAGACACATAAAGCTCTTAAAACTCATGCTACAAAAGTTTCAGTATTTTTCCACTGTCAAAAATAGCACTGTAATCATTTCTCCCTTAGCCCCTCTTGTCTTTTCTTTTGGTATCTAGCACAGTTTCCCCTAAGTTTTGGGTCAGTGGTGTTGACTTTGGCAGTTTGCTTGCTTTATTTACTAATATACCACCATTTAACCAGATGAATTTAACCATCCACTATCTTTCACTTTCTTATTTATTATTATGGAGAGAAATTTTATAAATTTAACAAGAAAAGCCTTTTGGTTTTGTTTTGCTATAGAATAGGGACAGAAAAACCTTCATTCTGACATGGGCCATCTAAATAATTATAGTATGAGTCATAGACTTACAATACTATACCACTTGCAAGAATTAGGTGCTTTTCTACAGAGCACTTTGGAGGTAAAAATAATAATAGCTTCTTCTCTCCCTCTCTCTCAAGAAATTGTCTATGTGCTCTCATGTCAGATAACCTTGGCACAGACAGCCATGGTTTCCTGGAAAAAATTTCAAATTTCAAGTCCTGCCTTTTATAGATATTGATACCTAAAGTCATATAAAGAATAAAATGAACAAAAACGATTGTGAATTCTACCTCATATTGATCATTGTTCATGCCAAAAATTATATCATATATTTTACATGAATTACAGCATTTAATGCCAAGTGCAGTAGAATGAAGTATGCTTCATTATCTCCTTTTTGCAGCTAGAGAAACTAAAGTCAGAATTTGACTTAAAGACATACAGGATGTAAATACTCAAACCCGTGACAGCACACCCTTGATGAAGGTCACAAAGTACAGCTTAGAAAAATCACTGTAAGTGAAATAGTGCCACAAGGACACAATACCTTTGTTGGAGACACATATACAACTACTCCTTCATTGTCCTCTCTGAGGATCTTCTCCATGCAGTAGTAAGAAGCAAAGGTTTTCCCTGAAGAGGTCGGAGCAACAATCACAGCAGACTCGTTATTATCTACAGCATCAAGAAGCTCCCGCTAAATAAAAAGAAAAACCATATTTCAGATTGAGTGTTTAGGGGTTTTATTTTATGTTTTTTCCTTTGTTTTTGTTTGTTTTGTTTTGTTTTTGCCACATTCAGCCATGCTCGGGGCTTACTCCTGTCTCTGTGCTAAGGGATCACTCCTGACTGGGCTCAAGAGAACTGATGTGGTGGTACCGGAGACTAAACCCAGGCAGCCATGCCTTGTTCTAGGTAAAAGCCATATCCTTGGTACTATCTCTCCAGTTTCGCATTTAATTTTGAAAGCATGTATTTCCTGTCAAATTTAGTTTAGCATTGACTATATCAAAGGCTTATTAGCATTCACAATTCCTTCTGAGGCATATTTTTGCCCAAGATAGCAATAAACTCAGGAAATCACCATTTGAATTTGTCAATAATTTGACTTATCTTTTCCTTCAAACACTCACTTAAACTTTAATGGAAACATCCAAATAAGCAGGCAACATCTGAACTGTAAAAAGTGAAGGCAGCCCAACTTGGGATACTTTTTACCTTAAATTGGGATCTCAAACTAACCTTAGAATTACCAACATCTGCTCATATCCATATTTCAATTTTCATTTAATAAATTAAGGATCATCAAGCAAAAATTAAGTCATAGAAGAGATCAAATTTTCCAAAGTAAACATATCTGTATTTATAATAATGGCTGGAGTGATAGCACAGCGGTAGAGCGTTTACCTCCGCGCAGCAGGCCTGGCCAAGCCGGGTTCAATTCCTCTGCCCCTCTCAGAGAGCCCGGCAAGCTACTGCGAGTATCTCGCCTGCACAGCACAGCCTGGCAAGCTACCCATGACGTATTCGATATGTCAAATGCAGTAACAAGTCTCACGATGGAGATGTTGCTGGGCCCGCTAGAGCAAATCGATGAACAACGGGAGGACAGTGCTACAGTGCTACATTTATAATAATATATACATTTTATAAGATTCTATTAATGATTCAAGTTTAATATTTGGACAATCTAAAATACCACTACTTAGGAAAAAAACAATAAACTAGGGCTAGAGATATACTATGCCTTGCATTGTATGCACCTGACTTGCGTTCACTCCCTAATACCAAATATGTTCCCCTAAGCCCATATGGAGTAATTCTTAAGCACAGAGCCCTGAACACTGCTGGATTTGTAAAAAAAAAAACCTGAAGTAAGTTACCAATAAATATATTTCACTAACCATAAGGCACTCTAATTTAAATATAAAAGTGGAAATATAAAATAATCACATGTGCAACAGTTAAGAGCAATCTAACTGAAATTAATCTGCCAGTTTTTAATTCAAGCTTTGCTACTTAACAGAAAAAATTCTTTTTCATTTCATCAGACTTGTGCTCCTTTATCTGTTAGGTCAATATATGTTTTACTTCGATTATAGTCATGTTTCATTTCTTAATAATTTGCCTTTCAAAAATTTCTTGCAGATACTGAGATCCAAACAAACTGTTTGATCTAAATTCTCTTTTCCAGGCTGAAAATCTCTTTGATACATACCTGCCATGTGTCTGGTATGAAATGCTGTACCCTGGGATCTGGATCCATTCTTTCTTCTCGAGATAAATAAAGGCCCATGTGTGTTAACTGAAATCGCGCTGCTCCCATGTGAATGGAATATTTAGAAATGTCCTGCTCAGTTCCTGATATCTTCACCTAAAATAAACATTATACTTTCAATTATTTTTAATCTAGGGAAGGAAATTATTATCAGCCCAGCTAAAGCTTATTTTCCTTCCACAATATTACTAGCTTATGTTTCTTTTTCATGCCCCCGTGCCTGGCTGTCCTCACCGGGGCCTCTTGGAGGGGGGTGGGTTGACTTTCCCTCCCCACCCCGAGCAGAGACACAGCAGCTAAAGACCTCCAGAACCAGTCATAGCCATGCTGAGACCACTCTCCACATGTCCAGACAAGCCTCATGCATGAAGGAACTGGCAGAGGAACCCAGGCATGAGGGTCCAGGGGCTGAGATCTCCAAGCCTGCTCGGATCGGGACTGGGCCTTCTCCACCCAGATCCCCTATCTTCCAGTAGGTAGGCATTACACCCACCAGCTGCCGCCAGCGCCAGGCGGTCCCATCAACGGCCAAGACCCAAAGACTATAAAACCCAGCTTCCGGAAGCTTATTATCTCGAGACATCTTATTATCTCGTTTTTACTTTGGAGAACCGGGCAGGCTACGGAAAGTATCCTGCCCACACGACAGAGTCTGGCAAACTTCCCCTATCATACTCAATATGCCAAATACCAGTAACAATCCTAGGTCTCATTCTCCTAACACTGAAAGAATATTGAATATGGCTCTTTTAAAATCTCAGGGCTAGGAAGAAGGAGACATTACTGGTGCCTGCTTAAGGCAATTGAGGAACAACAGGATGATTGTGATCATGATCGTTTCTTTCAATATCTTACAAAACTTAAAATTATAGTACATAATTTCAGAGTAAATGGAAATAGGGCAACGATTCTGTTTTATTTGCCAATTCTGATTCATCAACAAAAATCAGCAGTATATATTTGCAATAACATTTTAAATGTACCTGAAAGTTCCACACTTTTAAAAAATGTGAATAAAGGGGGCAGGATTATTGAATGCGGCTCAAACTTCACTTGGTGCCAACCATTAACATCATCAGTATGACCCTGGAGACACCTCAACACTAACATGGTGGACCTAACAGGGTGGACCTGAGCAGCACAGAATTCTAAAACCCTAATATTCGATGACCCAGTCCATTTAGCAGAAAATCGCTGAAAGTGGAACCAAATGTTTCTGAACACCACTTGCTTTGAAACATAGATAGCTGGAAGCAGGAACACTTCCACTAATTTTTTAAAAAAGTATATTGACAAACTTCAATTACCATTATATATTTTTGTTTATTTTCTAGTTTAACATAAAGAAACAACTGGGTAATTCAGTAGTTTTAATAATAAGGCAAATATCCTCCACTGATCCCTCAGAGAAATGAAGAAGTATAGCTCTACATCTTGAGATATAAACTGTATACTCTTGCACTAGGTGGCGAATGATAGACTGATCAAAAAAAGTAGTGCACACTACAGTTAGATTGAGACTAAAAGCCAATACATTTTATATTAATATGTTTTTATATAGCAAAATTGATTGATGTTTCTTCAGACTTCCAAAAGTGTATTAAATGATAGCTAATGTTCTCTGGGGAGTTCAGATCTAATGCTATTTCTGTGCTAGTTGTGCAGCACAATTAAGAACAAAAGTCGTAACTGTGGTAAATCTACACAATGAAATATTATACAGCTATTAGGGAAAATGAGTTTATGAAATTTGTCTATACATATACTTGGAGAGTATCATACTGAGTGAAATGAATCTGAGAGAGAGGGACAGATATAGAATGACTGCATTTATTTGTGGAATATACCCCAAAAAAAGTATGAAACTAATAACCACGGCCAGGGAAAATGGGCCAGAAGGACTGGTCAATGGTTGATCAATGGTGTGGGAGATGGAGGGTAGATAAGATAGAGAAGGGTACATTATGATAATACTAGTTGGAAATGATCATTCTAGATAAGAACTGAGTATTGAAACAAGGTAAAGGGATATACATGATAACCTTTCAGCATCTGTATCTCAAACCATAATGACTAAAATGATAGGAAGAGTGAGAAAGAGAGAGAGAAGAGAGGTGCCTGCCCTAGAGGCAGACTGGGGTTGGGGTGGCTTGAAGGGGTGGGAGGGAAATTGGGAACACTGCTGCTGGCAAATTATACTGGTGGAGGAATGGGCGTTGGAACATTGTATGACTGAAATGCAATCATGAACAATTTTTAATACTCTATCTCATGGTGATTTAATTTTTAAAAAGGAATAGAAGTCATACAGGAAAAAATACCCAATGTTATCAAGTATTAGGGAGGGAAAAGTATCCAATATTATCAAGTATTCAGGAGAAGAGATGAACAGAAAGAAGAAATGGTCCAGATGCACATGAAAAACTACTCTAGTTCTAATCATCAGGGATGCAAATTAAAGCAATGATATATCACCTCGCATCTCTTTGATTCCACTATTCTTCCTGCATTAACATATGCCTCAGAGACCTGGACCCTACGAAAACAGGATGAGAACACTATTCGGGTCTCTCAAAGAGGAATCGAAAGAACTATGCTTGGAATATCACGATTCACTCAAATGAGAGATAGAATCCGGAGTTCTGATCTTCGTCAACGCTCAAGAATCAGGGACGCTGTCTCATTTGCCAAGACATCAAAAATCAGATGGGCTGGACACGTAATGAGGTTTACAGACAACCGCTGGACTAGAGCCATTACTGATTGGATTCCACGAGACATCAAAAGATCACGTGGACGCCCACCTATAAGATGGTCAGACTTCTTCGTCAAGACCCTAAATGATCGGTTTGAGGCTCTACATGTTCCTAAAACGAACAGATACCATTGGGCTACGCTAGCACGCAACCGGGATGAATGGAGACATTACTGGCACCCGCTCGAATAAATCGATGAATAACGGGGATTAAGTGATTAAGTGATTAAGTGATATCACCTCGCACCACAAAGACTGACACACATTAAAAAAAGAAAATTCAGTTCTGGTGTGGATTTGGAGAGAAAAGGGATGGACTGTCATTCACTGCTCATGGGAAAACCAATTGGTCCAGGCTTTCTAGAAAACACTACAGATATTCCTCAAATAATTAGAAATAGTTCCTTGTGACCCAGCAATAGTACTCCAGGAAATATATCCTACTGGCCCAAAAACACAATGTAGAAAAGTGATCCACATTCCTTTGTTAATTGCAGCAGTATTCACAATAGCCAGAATCTTGAACAACCCAAGTGTCTGAGAACAGATGAGTTGATAAAGATATATCTACACAATGGAATACTATGCAACAATTATGAAAAATGAAGTCATGAAATGGAGAGTATCATGCTGAATTAAATGATCCAATAGAAGAGGGAAAGACTCTGAATGCTCACACTCTTTTGAGATATATAAAAAATATAGTATAAGAATAATAGCCAAAGACAATATAAACAATGTCCAGAAGGACTGGCTCATGATAAGAAGCTTAGCACAAAGGGTGGTGGGATTGCAGTTAGGAGAGAGCAGGGACCACTATGATAAATATAGTTGGAAAATGATCACTTTGGACACAAACTTAGTACTCAAAGGAGACAAAGTGATATGCTTGCTACCCTTTCAGTAACAGTAGTAGAAACCACAGTGTCTAGAAGGAAAAAAAGAAAGAGAAAGAGAGAGAGAGAGAGAGTAGTGTCTGTCAGAATCAAATGAGGGTGATGGAAGGGAAACTGGTGCCATTGGTGGTGGGAAATGTACACTGGTGAAAGGATGGGTGATGGAACATTATTTGAAACTCAATCATGAAAAATTTTGTGACTGTGTATCTTATAGTATATTTTAGTTCTCAAGTCAAACTTAAAAAGACAATTTTGACTTAAAAATAATTCCAATACTTTTTAAGGGACAGCTAAAGACAATCAATATATTAAAATCAAAGGTTTCATGGGTATATATTTAATTATATATATATATATGTGTGTATATATATATTCCTAGGATAGAGGAAAAGTATATTGATGGAGGTGGGGGGCAAAGATAGATTTTTCTTTCACTTTCTTTCTTTCTTTCTTTTCTTTTTTCTTTAGTTTCCTTTTTCTCTTTCTTTTTCTTTCTTCTTTGTCTTTTCTCCCTCTTGCCTCCCTTCCCCTTCCTTCCTTCCTTTCTTCCTTCCTTCCTTCCTTCCTCCTTTCCTTCCTTCCTTCCTCCTTTCCTTCCTTCCTTCCTTCCTTCCTTCCTTCCTTCCTTCCTTCCTTCCCTCCCTCCCTCCCTCCCTCCCTTCCTCCCTCCCTCCCTCCCTCCCTCCCTCCCTCCCTCCCTTCCTTCCTTCCTTCCTTCCTTCCTTCCTTCCTTCCTTCCTTCCCCATTCATAAGAGAAGCTCTATCTGTGGGTGAATTTTCCTTGTTTCCAGAACTTTTTATTAATTTCCTAAATAAACAAACAGTAAAACTTACAAACAATAAACACATCTGCCGTAGATATTCTCCTTTCCTTTAGAGATTTTTTATTTACTTTCCTCTTTCTATATTTAACACATTAGTAAAATATTATTGTCCAAACAGAACAGCAAGATATAAAAAAGAATTATAGACCTGCAACTATATAACTTGCATTCTACTTTGGGGCAAGAAACAATAAATAAATAAAACATAAACAAAAATTCAGACAGTGATATATGCTTTTAAGACAGGAGTGGAGAAATTTCTTAGTGACTTTATGAAGTGTGGGCATGAGGTGGAGGAAATACTAGTTAAGACATAATAACCTCATGTCAACTACCTTCAGTGGTTTTTTATATGACAAGATTTTTCCTAAAAATCTAAGATATAGAAGTCAAGCCAAGTTCCAAGGGGAAAAGGAAGTTTTTACTAGAGAAATAACTAACCTAAAACTCTACTCATAAATTAATTTTATTCACTTAGAACTGGAAACAGGAACAGAGAGGCTATTGGGAACCAGAAAAGTAGAACTGCTTATTTGTAATGAGATGGGAACTCAAAAGTACAATAAACTAGATAGTTTATGAAGAACACAGATTTATTTCTCTCAAATCTAGAAACTGAAAAGCTCACGATGATGGCTCTGGTGGATTCCCTGTCTGCGAGAGTCAACCCCTGGCCTGCCATTATTATTTTTTTATTACAACTTAATACAATATTGAGGTCTTGTTTTTAAATTGATGCCTCTTCTAGCCATGCTGGTGGATAGGGTAGTCCAGGGACCATTCATAGTGATGCAAGCACAGAACACAAACCATGTGATTGAGTGCATGAAGACCACCAGAGTTACACCTGCTGGTCTGTGCTCAGGGGACATGAGTGATAGATAGGAATAAAACACTGAGTCTTACACGTGCCTGGTATGTCCCTGCATAGCAGTTCCTTTTGAAAGGACAAAAATCTCATTCATAAAGGATTCACTCTGATAATCTATTCACCTCTAAAGACCACCACTTCCAAATACCATCATTTGGGGGATGAAAATCTTAACATTTTAATTTGGTATAAAAAGGAAAAGGGAATACAAACTTTCAGGCCATAATATCCACTGTACAAATAAAACACTTATTTTAGTAAGCATATATCCATGGGGGTTGGGAGGGATACTGGGATTAGTGGTGGTGGAAAATGGGCACTAGTGAAGGGATGGGTACTCGAGCATTGTATAACTGAAACCCAAGCACAAAAATTTATAAGTCTGAAACTGTACCTCATGGTATTTCACTAATAAAATTTTTTAAAAAAATATGTCAGATGCTGTAGAGATTGTGCACCAGGTGTGGCACTTGCCTTAAACACAACTGACCTGAGTTCTATCCCCTGTACCCCATATGGTTCCCCATGCCCCTCCAGTAGTGATCCCTGAGTGCAGAGCCAAGAGTAAACCCTGACCACAGCAAGGCATGACTCAAAAACAAAATTTAAAAAATTTTGTCTGTACAAAGTAATGCGAGCTGGAGCAATAGCACAGCGGGTAGGGCTTTTGCCTTGAATCTGGCCGAATCAGGTTTGATTTCTCCATCCCTCTCGGAGAGCCCGGCAAGCTACCGAGAATATCTTGCCCACATGGCAGTGCCTGGCAAGCTCCCAGTGTCATGTTCAATATGTCAAAAACAGTAACAACAAGTCTTACAATGGAGACATTACTGGTGCCTGCTTGAGCAAATCGATGAACAATGGGACAACAGTGCTACAGTGCTGCTACAAAGTAATGCATGTGTAATCATTAATATTAATTAAGCTGGGACCTAATATAAAAATAATTATTTTTTAATTCTGAAAAGTAGTTACATAAAATAGTTGCTTCATAATTTGCAAAGTATAAATTATCAAGAATTATGTAATTCTAAGATACTACTGAACTTTCTACCCTCAACTTTGTTTAATTTCTGGTACATTTTTGTAACAAATAACTAAGGCTTGGAAAGTTAGATTGGAGGCAAATGTTTTATTTGTCTAAGAAAATAATTTGGGCTGGAGCGATAGCACAGCGGGTAGGCCATCTGCCTTTCACGTGGCCAATCCAGGTTCAATTCCTCCATCCCTTTTTGGAGAGCCCGCAAACTAGGAGAGTACCCCACCCACAAGACAGAGCTGGCAAGCTACCTGTGGTGTATTTGATATGCTAAAATCAGTAACAACAAGTCTCACAAGGAGACATTACTGATGCCTGCTCAAGCAAATCCATAAACAAAAGGACAGTGCTACAGTTAATTCTAAATATTCTTCATACATACTCAACCATATGTGCATGAATATAATTAAATATTTTATAAAATTTCTACCTGAGGACATAATGAGTGTGCCAAGTTGTCAAATCCAATATATTTTAGATACTTGGCTATTTTTTGTCGATGAGTATTTTGTAATTGGTCCAAATATTTTTCATGTATTATATGAATTCTTTTCATTATATTAATTACTATGCTTAAATCTTTAGATTCTGCTCCTTTGGATTCTGTTGAAATAAATCATTGACATAAAAAACATAAATAAGGCAAATTACTGACAGTAAACTCCTAGAGTATTTAAATATATATTGCAAAAAAAATTAAAATATTAAAATAATTCACTCATAATAGCTGAGAAATTCATAATGAGCATTATTACAGAAGAGGAAAAAGAACAAGCTCTTGATTTAGAACAGCATTATGGGGGTTAGCAAATAAAAATATAAGAAATTCTGTTTTAGACAAATATCATGTTATGTATATGTTGATGGCATGTTTTGTGTACTTATGAGTGAATAAAAAATATTGTATTAAAATCTTTATTCATCATTATTTAAATTATCTGTTCTCTTTGGAACCACAGTTCATTTCTTTAATATCAGGGTAACTGAATCTACCTCAAAGAATTGTGAAAATTAAATGAAAAAAACATACACAAGCTTATAATTATTATTTGAGTGCCCATATCATACTATGTTACAGTTTTAAAATGTACTCGAATTCCTTGCAAACTAATCCTTAAACACCCCTTTTATTTTCACTTCAGAAGAACCAAGGGTACCTTTTAATGTAATCAGCTTAAGGTTGATCCTAAGAAAACTGCTCAATACATGTACAGTTGAATATATCAAATACAAAAGTAATTACAATATTCCTGTATCAAACAAAACTCCCTTGTTCTTTAAACAACAGAAAAGTTTTCCAAGTCTGCACAAAAGAATCAAAATATGTGGCCAATAACAAGTCTTGTGTGCTTATCTATCTGACTTTTTATTTCAAAAACAATTCTAAAGTTAATATATTCACATACCTGGCTTTGAACAGTATTCCATCCAGAATTTGAAACAGGCATCCAAACCTAACATTTCTGCAACAAATTTTACAGATTTATCAGAGCATGTTTTGAGAAAATCTTCTAATTGTTTTATGCCAACATTAGGATTTTTTTCAATTTCCTTTTCAATATGTCTGGACAAGTTTTTCCATATTTCTTTGTCTGTTTTTTCTGTTTGTGATAACTGTCTCTTTTGATTTTCTTCAATAGATTTTTTTTCGTTTGTCTTCTAAAATAAACAGAAAGGAGATAAGTAAAAAGAAAATCAAAGGTCACTAGGATAATATTTTAAAGCAATATTTAATAATACAGGTCATTGGTTTACCATTCAAGCATTGAAATAGCATGTCAAATACAAGACTGGGGGTCTTCAAATAATTAAATACAAATATTTATTGGTTTTACACAGGCACATTCTTATCATCTCCTTAGCTATTATTTATCTCCTTGATCAATTATCATTCCAATGAAAATTATTTTTTTAGTTTCCCATGCCTGTGTGCTAACATCTAGCTAACTACTCAGTTTGTAACTTAGCAAAGTGGTTTCAGGAAAAAAATCAATAAATCAAAAAATGTTGCATTTGGTAGTAAGATAAATGAAAAATTGGTATAGTTATTTTAAGTAAGGATATAGCAATATAAATCAAAGTCATAACTTTTTAATTCTCTGCTTTAACAATTATTGTTGTTGTAAGTTTTAGAAAACTGCAGAAAAACTCAAGTAAAATTATGTTTGTTTGCTTCCTCAAGGTATCTGTATAACTATAGTAGCATATGTTATAGAAATTTCCCTAAGATACATTTCTTAATAGGGAGAAAAATAAAACCATGCTAAAATTTTTTTAAAAGTGCATATATTTGTAAATATGTATAGATTGAAATATTTAAAAAGATATCTGCCTTAAGTTAACACAAATAACTTTGAGAAGAGGTTAAATTTTTGTGACTTTTACCATTTTTATATTTGTAATAATCCAAGTTTATTGGATATTTTAACCCATATATATTTTAAAATATTAAAATTTAAAAAAAACAATTTGTTATTGTATAAGTATGTTAATTATAGAGATAAATATCCATTATATATTAGAATGAGGATACTTTTTGTTTTTATACAAGCACATTCTTACCATTTCCTTTCTGGTAATGGAAATTACCTGAGATTATTAAATAATTTCTGAGATTATTTTAAAATTTCATTATGAATAAAAATATAAATTTGTGAAAAATTATCAGTAGTTATCTGAAGGGCTGGAGCGATAGCACAGCAGGTAGTGTGCTTGCCTTGCACACAACCGACCCAGGTTCGATTCCTCCATCCCTCTCACAGAGCTCAGCAAGCTATCAAGAGTATCCCACCTACACGGCAGAACCTGACAAGTTCCCCATGGCGTATTCGATATGCCAAACACAGTAACAAATCTCACAATGGAGACGTTACTGGTACCAGCTCGTGCAAATCAATGAAGAAAGGCAGGACAGTGCTACAGTGCTACAGTTATCTGAAGGATGTTCTATTTCTTGATATTTACAGAGGAAAACGTGTAATGGTTTGAATATCTATAAAAGACTATACATCAATAAAATTGTGGGTTTGGTTATTTTTACTATATCAAAGGGAAATAACTTTAAGGAACTACTCCAAAATGTAAATAGTTTTAAGTCTGTGTGAGATCAATTAGGGTTTTGTATTTGTCATTATCCTTTTTTCATTTTACAAATAATCTAAAGGAAAATTAAGGATTTTATTTTAAACATTTCTTCCTGGATAATATATGAGATCACCCTGTGTTCCTAGTGAGAATTACATATGGATCCTTAGGAACTCCATATGAGAGTCCTCGTAGGTCAAGAATTTATCTGGTCCTGTGTTTTGTTATTCACAGAAGAAAGCTTTTTGGAGGTGGTTGCATTCTTTCTCTTACACTCTGAACTGATTCACTATTTTCTTTCAAATTTTTTCCAAAAGTGTTATAAAAGTTACATAATTCCTGTGCTTCCAGTCTTCGTTTGGTATCCTTGGAATTATCTGTAAGAAGTAAATTATTAAAATATGTTGGCAATTCTATTTATAAATAAAAGTTCCATTTAGAGAGCACTTAAGAGAAATACTGAAAAATAGACTTTGAATTTTGTATTAATCTTATTGTAAATAAATTGGAGACAGATGAATAAATTCTAATTATCTGAACCATATTTAAATAATAGGAGAGGATTTAACTCAAAACTTTAACTTGCATATTCACTTTATTAAAATACACCATGCACCTAAATATCCCCTTTAAAAAGTCATCACACTGCTTATGCTCTTCTTATTGTCTACTGAGTCAAAAACACAAGAGAAAACTGCAGCTCTTTAGTATTTATGATCATCTTGTCCACAGGTCAAACAAAGCACATGAACATTGCAAGAGCATTTGAATTGGAAAGTTCTGAAATCTACCCTCAAATTAAGTTAGGACAATATGGCTGAAGCAAATTCATCAAATCCCGGCTAATAATATAGGAATATAGAAATAAGTTATTGCTATTTTATAAGCTATTCTTAATTAGAAGCAGTGCAGCACACAACTAAAAATAGTCTAACCTTTCCTCCAAACTACTTCCAAAGAAATTATTTTTAAATGTAAATCTGATGGTGCAATTCATATGATACAAACATTTTGGTAACTTCCTCCTTCTCTTCTGTTCATCAAAAATCCTCACTGGAACCTACAGTATGAAGCCTGCCTGCACTAGATCACCTCACACCATTCTCTGGGATCCTCCAGACTCTCTAGCCATTTCTGTGTGAGTCTAGCCTAATTGATCCCCACCATTACCACATGCCCATTTAATTACTTTTCGTTCAAATTTTGTAACAAAATACCACATCCTCTAGTAAACTCTCTTTACACTCGACTTTTCTTGCCTCTGATTGTGGTATCCATCACAATTTTTAATGCACGAGAGTATTGGATATGCCAGACACAGTAACAACAAAGTCTCCAATGGAGACGTTACTGGGCCCGCTCGAGCAAATCGACGATCAACGGGAGGGCCTTTACCTTTACCTTTTATAAAAGAGGGTAATTAGTAAAACACCAATACTCTGTGACACAAATAAATTTTAAAAACAAATATTGCAGACTATAAATTAGATTATTAATCTGAGATTCATATTTCATAAACCATTGTGAATATACAATATTGTAACAGTTACTAGGTATCAACTACACCTACCTTGAAAGTGATTAGTACTTTCGAAATCATCACTGAGAGGTCTTGAAGAATGCCAATGTCTGATTTCATCAAATTCTCTTGTAGAAAAAGACTGAATAGCTGGGTCTTCACTGGAAAAATCAGTGAAGGTATGCTATTTTAAAAGACTTTTATAAACATTTAAAAGTCATAATAATCAATTATAACACATAAAAATAATATAAAATTTTTGTCATTTGTATAAGAATCCAAATATAAATTAATCAATTCAGCAATAAATAAATATAAATGCCAAAATGAGTCCATTTAAAAAAATTAAATACCTGCTTAGAAAAGGTAGTTCTGACAAAATATCTCCAGCAAAATCTTCGACAAGCTCAGATTTCAGAGGTATGAGTCCTAATTTATGAATTACTTCATTTGATCCTGGAAATGTTTAGCAATGAAATAAATATTTGACAGAACAGAGAGATAGCACAGTAGTGTTTGTAGCACAAGGCGGTGTTTGCCTTGCGTGTGGCTAATGTTGGTTAAAATCCCATGTACCCCTAAGTAGGATCCCTGAGCACAGAGCCAGGAATAAGCCCCGCACACTGCTGGGTGTGACCACAAGACAAAACAACAAAAATAAATAAATAACATTTGAACATCAAACTATACTAACAATTTCCATTGTAAAACAAGTATTTCTGGAACAACAAAGTTAAACATTATCATAGTCTTGATCATGATGATGATTTATCATCATTTTTGCAAAATAAATAATCCTTCAGTACAATTACTGTAAGTACATCAAGATTTTTAAATTAAAGTCATTTTTCACATATTAAATCAAAAACAAATATATATTCAGTAAATTGAATAAAAATTTAATTTTGACTGAAGTAAGATAAATTTGAAATATAAAAAGACATCCATTTAATTTGGACCAGTATAGGTCTGCATATTGAATAAATAATCATAGAAAAGTTTTAGTTTACTTTTGTCTAAATTTAATAACCAATATTTTCAAATTACAATAGTAAAATAGTGTACATATCACTAATTATAAGGAATTTAAATGAAACTTTATTTTTCATCTAAATTCCCATTAAAACTTCCTTTCTTATATGAAATGGTCTAAACTGTCAATCACATTTATGAAACTGACTTTCACACAAGCAGGTTTTTCCATATGAGTGACATGAAAGCTTTTACTTTTGTAGAAAATATAGTAAAATCGACTTTAGGATGTTTTCTAACTATGAAGACTGATATATATGGATCAATTATTTTCTCTATCATTTATTTGATATACAATTTAAATCTCCCTTTTCAAGATCCTGTCTATAAGTGAGATTGATAATACCATAAGTAGGGCTATTTTGAAAATCAATAGGATGTAGCCTGCAAAGGCAATGCACAATACTCATCAGAATAGATATCTAATAAGTATGAACTGCTATCCTTCATGTGTATTCATTTTGAATGAGAGATTGAGTACATACAAACACCCACAGTACATACACCCACAAGCATGATTGTATACACACATACAAACATAGATACATGTGTGCAAAAGTTTACAAATACATATGAAGTAAAGTGCTTGGATAACAAGGAAGGTGATAAAGGAAAGAAGATAGTAAATAGAACTAATCCTACACAGTCATAATTTAAAAATTCGGATTTATTTTCAAATAAGAATCTTGTTTCCAGCCTCCGTCGTATATGAGGTCGCCTTTTAAAAAAAATTACCTCCAGATGATTTGTTGTTCTCTATAAGAAAGGGTCTGGCCGTTGTCCTAATGGGCATGTGTCCTCCAAAGTCACCATCTTGAGAAAGCGTTAAAACTATGTTCCACAACTTCTCATATTCATGCATCAAAGTGTCGCCTAATTCCAAATTTAGACCTAAGAGAAGAAAGTAAATTCAAATAAGCAATTAAGCTTGGGTGAGGGACACTATGCTTTATGTTTGATGAATGCCTCAAGGGTTTCTCAAATATATCTCATCTTGGATGTTTAAACTGGAAAAAATAGTTCTGGCATATCTATGTTATTACAAATATTATTTAAAAAGTAAAATCTCTTGAAATCAGTTAAAATCAGTTCAAATACAGTAGTGATTGGTACTGCTATATTTTCCATTTACTAAAAAGATAAAAACTGATAGGCCAATAAGTTAATTTATTGCTCCAATGTCATGGGTAAAGGAACCGTCAGTCTATATCAGAACTTCTGAAGGATCTACTAGGCAAAATACTCCAAAGAAGAGCAGGCCAATGACACCAAGGATCTTCAGACAGTATTCTAAGCTGATGGTTCTGTGAATTTTCACAAAAATAACTTTTTCCCTCAAAACATTCAATAGTAAAATTCACTTTAGAACATCTGGAAAATATATGAAGTGTGACAAAATATTAGAATGTGACAAATGGTAATGACTGTGGTACCCTAGAACAGCTTCCTCCATGAAATAATTTTTCTCCTATGAAATGCATACTTTTTATAAAAGAGATAAAATTTCTTCAAACAAACCTTTATACTGAATAGTAGTAAATTAATGGAAAGCTATTAAAATTATTGTCAAATATAATTCTACTCACCCACCAAAATAGTGAATTATAAGGCATAGCTAAACATTATTTACCTCTTTCATGTTCAATTTCATAGTAATAAGCAATATTTTTCCATAAAATATCATCAGTTAAATCAGGCAGACCAGCAAAATTAATATTCCAACGATTGCTCTTTTTTATTTGTTTTAGTATGAAAAATGCACAGTGCTTCAACTGGATAAAAACAAAAAGTGAAGAAGCATTAATAATATAAAATCTCCCCCCCGGAAATTTTTATCTTTGTTTTTCCTCAAATAGGTAAGGTAAAGGTAAAGGCCCTCCCGTTGATCGTCGATTTGCTCGAGCGGGCCCAGTAACGTCTCCATTGGAGACTTTGTTGTTACTGTGTCTGGCATATCCAATACTCTTGGTAGCTTGCCGGGCTCTCCAAGAGGGGCGGAGGAATCGAACTCGGGTCGGCCATGTTGGCCGCTTGTAAGGCTTACGCCCTACCCGCTGTGCTATCGCTCCAGAATCCAATTAAAAGAAAGTACAGTATAAAGAAACTAAAGGAAATATCAGATTTCAATGCCAGTGTCCTTTCATTCACAAGAATCAATGACAACATACAAAATAATTGTTGTCTTTTTGTTTAAGGTTTTCCTACTGTAGGATGACATAATTCCACAAATTAAATAAAAAAATAAATCTACGTACTCTAAGGTACTGTACAGCTACCAAAGCAAATAATTATAGGGCCAAAGCAATAGTATTTCACGCGCCTGACCCAGATTCAACCTCCGGCGCCCCATATGGTCCCCCAGGATCACCAGTTATAATCCCTGAGCACAGAGTGAGGAGTAAGTCCTGAGCACAATTGAGAGTGGTCCCAAAATCCCCCCGAAATTTTAAATCAAGCATACAATTCTTTTTTTGAACTCATTACAGGCTTTATTGAGTCAAAATAATAATACTACTATTTAAAATGTATAGGGATTTCATTTTTATGGCTTTAGAATGTTAATTAAAGTTGCTTATGTTATCATTTTGCAACAGTTATATATACTTAGGTCGAGAAATCAACATGATGAATGACCTGGCACCTGAGTTACGCAGGAGGAAGAGAGCGGCTTGGAATGCCTTCAAGAGCATTGAAGAAATAACTAAAAGGACAAAGAACCTCCAACTACGAGCACATCTCTTTGATTCCACTATTCTTCCTGCATTAACATATGCCTCAGAGACCTGGACCCTACGAAAACAGGATGAGAACACTATTCGGGTCTCTCAAAGAGGAATCGAAAGAACTATGCTTGGAATATCACGATTCACTCAAATGAGAGATAGAATCCGGAGTTCTGATCTTCGTCAACGCTCAAGAATCAGAGACGCTGTCTCATTTGCCAAGACATCAAAAATCAGATGGGCTGGACATGTAATGAGGTTTACAGACAACCGCTGGACTAGAGCCATTACTGATTGGATTCCACGAGACATCAAAAGATCACGTGGACGCCCACCTATAAGATGGTCAGACTTCTTCGTCAAGACCCTAAATGATCGGTTTGAGGCTCTACATGTTCCTAAAACGAACAGATACCATTGGGCTACGCTAGCACGCAACCGGGATGAATGGAGACGTTACTGGCACCCGCTCGAATAAATCGATGAATAACGGGGATTAAGTGATTAAGTGATGTTATCATTTTACAAGTGAAGGTCTAAATAAAGCATAAGCATCTGGGGCTGGAACAATAATACAGTGGGTAAACAGGATCCTTGTCTTGCAAATTTGCATCCTGAATACCCACTGTAAGAGTTTTTAAGTTTAACAGTAACTGACAAACCCAGGTTCAACCCCCAACACCCCATATGGACCTCCAAAACCCATCAGGAGTGATTCCTAAATGCAGAGTTAGGAGTAAGTCCTGAGCACCACTGGGTGTTTCCTCCTCTCACCATCCCATAAAACATAAGCACATTATCAGAAAAAAATTCTTAAAATAGAAATGCCATCTGCATGCAAAAAAAACCATTGTGCTGACAATAACTAAGTAAAAACATTAGCAAAGCAATTTTACAACCAATGACTATACTTTTATTATTGCACTACAAATATTTCTCAATGTTTTACAAAGACATGTATTTATATTTATGCAGCTTACACTTATGCAGCTTTGTATTTATGCAACTTTCTCTCATACCATACCAAAGTGAATGGAAATAATTATTTTTTAATGAGAATAATTCTAGTGACTTAAATTTTATAAAATAATCATAAAATATATTTTTGGTTATCTCCTAATTCATCTTTTTTCCTGATCAAAGGTATATCGAAAATAAGATAGAAATAAACTATTTAGTGCTATCAATTTAGGAAGCATTATGATATATTTGAAATCTAAAAGTTTTTAAGTTTAACAGTAGCTGAAAAATAACTTCTACATTCATTTTCTGCTTTAATAAGTAATACAGTACTCATTAATACACTTATGTAAATTTATATAAACTGTCATTATATTGGGATGGAGTGATAGTACAGCAGGTAGGGCATTTGCCTTGCACACAGTCGACCCAGGTTCGATTCCTCCATCCCTCTCAGAGAGTCCAGTAAGCTCCGGAGAATATCCTGCCCTCAGGGCAGAGAATTAGCAAGCTTCCTGTGGCATATTGGATGTGCCTAAAACAGTGACAAGTCTCACAGTGGAGACATTACTGGTGCCTATGAACAATGGGAGGACAGTGCTACAGTTATTATATTAATTTAAATATATATAAGAAATACTGTTTCTTCGGGGCTGGAGTGATAGCACAGCAGGTAGGGCCTTTGCCTTGCACGCGGCCAACTGGGGTGACCAGGGTTCAACTCCTCCACCCCTCTCGGAGAGCCAGGCAAGCTACTGAGAGTATCTCGCCCGCACAACAAAGACTGGCAAGCTACCCATGATGTATTCAATATGCCAAACACAGTAACAACAAGTCTCACAATGGAGACGTTACTGTGAGACTCGAGCAAATCGATGAACAACGGGAGTACAGTGCAGTGTTACTGTTTTTTCAATGATATAGTATAATTATTTGTAATTCTTAGAAGTATGCGTTATGATTTATGCAGTACTATTCTATTTGAGTACCTTTCTTATTGAGTACATATATATTATGACTTTTAAGTCTTTAGCTAGAAATTTGCATTTTTGCTGTTACCAACTTTTAAATATATAAGAAAGAGGTTAATATAAGAACAGCAAAATATTTTACTTCTAACTTTAGATTTATTGGATATAAAAAAATTGTAGTCACCTACCATTTTTAGAAATGGTGAAAGACTTCTATTCCAATGACAAGTAATGATTCTACTCTTAGCTCTTTGAAACAGGGATAACTGTTGAAGGAAAATCACACTAAGGCAATGCATTCTGCAGAGATCTGCTGCTTCAGATAGTGTTGGTACTTTCTCCAAGTCCTAAAGACATAAATTTTAAACAAAATTAATCTAAACATGGTAAAATATTACTAACAAGTAAAACAATACTATCTTAAATTACCTTGTCTATACATTCCCACATGGTCCACTTTTCAGTTACTTTAATTGAACAAAAGTTTTAATAAGCTGAGCACCTTTCTTTAAAGTATACACCTAATTATCTTTCCTAACATTGAAAGTTTTTAAAAAGAAATAAAATAGAGATCTAGTATTCTACCCAGCACCCAGCACTTCCATTTTGCAAAATGATGAATGGTGACCCGTTTGGAGGTATGACAAGAATCTACATTTCAGGATCTTAAAGAAGCAACACAATAAAAGAAGACTAAGTTTCTTAATTTCCATAAATTTCACTCATGCTTCTGTGGAGAATAACTAGGACATATGAAGTCTATTATGTATACTAAGGCATATAGTATAGTAGAAAAAGGCAGAAAGCTTTTCTTACATCCCAGAAAGATATTGCACTTTTATGTGAGACTATCGATATAATAGAGTACCAGCACCTCTACTATAGAATTAAATGACCATTTAATGTGTCTAAGTTATCTGACATTGATGACACTGACACATAAGGAGTCAGTAAGGTTTATCTATTTTTTTGAAATAAATAGATTTTATTTGGAGGATTTTTAGGGTGTGATGGGGGAGAGAGTGAGAGAGTAACGTACTCAAGAGAGAACACGGCCTTCTCCAAGGGTGGAGAGAACCCCTAAACACATCCTAGCATTAGACAGAAACACATGAAAGTACACATCTCAAGAGGGGAGATGCGGGTGACACATCTGCTCAGCCCACATGTGCTTGGCCACATGGGTGCAAGCAGCACATGAGCTCAGGCAGCATATGTGCCAGGTTTATCTATTTTTTATTAAAAGGTAAAGGTAAAGGCTTATAACTGGGCTGGAGCAATAGCACAGCGGTAGGGTGTTTGCCTTGCACTCCGCTGACCCAAATTCTATCCCGAAAGTATCTCCCCGCACAGCAAAGCCTGGCAAGCTACCAGAGAGGTATTCTATATACCAAAAACAGTAACAAGTCTCACAATTTGTTGTGAGACATTATTGGTGCCCGCTTGAGCAAATCGATGAACAAGGACAGGACAATGCTACATCGTTACAGTAATATAACCATCATTGATGGTATTTTTCTGTATTTGTTTGCCTTTTGGGTGATACCTGTTCGTGCACAGGAAAAATATCAGTGCTGGTACTTAGGTGTATCTCTCAAAAGTGCTCAGGAAATCGTGTAATACTGGGAATCAAACTTGACCTCCTATATGTAAAACATGCACTCTAGCCCTTTAAACTATTTCCCCCATCTCTAGTAATTCTTTTGATGGAGAGAAGGCGGTGTTGTGTAATACTTCATGTTTAGGGAACCAAGCTTGAACCCAGGGCCTCCTTTAAACAAAGAATAAAGTAAGCCCTTTGAATTATCTCTCGACTCACATAAATGATGTTCTTCGTGAAAAACATGGATGCTGAGCAATAGAGTAGAGGATTCATTGGCAAAGCTCATCTGATCATGGCCATAATTACTGTCATCAACAGTTACTGCCTGTTTTTACAAACTCTAAGTGTCTTGCGAAATATCATTATTTAAGCCTAAATATTTGCCTGTGAGTACCTAGGCACAGCAATAATGAGCTAACAACAAAAATATGAAGTATTTGACCTCTGCTTATGAAAGTAAGAAGTGATGGGCTTACTACATCAAAACTATTCTAATATATTTTATTAAAATCCTTATAAGTTTTTTGATGTGGGAGAGTAGGGCACATCAGAATTTTAGATGGAGTAAGGCACATGTTTTACATGAAGTCTTACTTCATGAGTGATAGTTATTTGATTTCAGGTAATCTATAATCCTCCATGCACTGCCAAGAATAATCCGTGATCCCTGATCCCTGATCAGAAAGTCCAGAGTAAGCCAGAAACACAGCCTGATGTGACCCCAAAAAACAAACAAAAAGTTTACGTGCTTTTATAAGAATATGATGAGAATATTCTACTTTGACATTTGATTAATGAATGTTAAAAACATATTTTCTTTTGATTATGAGTATGTATTTGTAGCTACAAAGCATAAGCATTGCTTCACATTTTTCAATATTATTAAATAATTTGATTTGCTTTTGAAAGAATCTCACCTGTGTTTTGTGAATTTCTGGATCTGTGTTTAGATTTTCACTGTCTGATGCATCATGTAGCATTCTTTTATGAAGTTTTAATGTTACAGCACATGCAATAGAGCAGACTATACTTCTTACATCAGCTCCTTCTGGCCACATATTCTGAAGTAAGGACAAGGCTTCATGTATCTGAAATAAAATAATCATTAATGACCTAAAATCTAATCATGAACAGCTTTGTCAGGGTCTATTTCACAGTGATTCAATAAAAAAATTTTCAAAAAAGACCTACAAATTATGAGACAGAATTCAAATCTTGAGAGATGTTTAATGATAAAAATAGAAGCTGTGCTTTTCCATCATATTACTGAAATTTTACCTTTAAATTTTTAAGAAAAATATAAAACAAATGTCTTTGGCATAAACATGCAGAATTTTGGGTAACTATTCAATGGTGAATGAGAATGTGGCTATATTTAATTAGGTCCTAAATTTTATTTTAATATTAATTCCACTTTAATAGTAAATGCAACTTTAATATCAAGTCTCTTTTTGATTTCTACTGTAACAAATATGGGAAAAATGATTTCTTTTTCAGGTTCTCGATGAATTAACCTGTAAACTCTTCAGTATTATAAATTCAGACTTTTCTTGGCTAGTAAGCATCTGAGACAAATTAATTTTCCTGATGTTCAACAAATAATTTTCAAAAGTTTGTAATTAAGGACTACTAAAATTAAAGGCATCACAATCACAATCAGGCCTGCACAACCCTATCACCACAGTCTATACCAGGTACTCATGATAATAAAGCCCTCTCTATATCCCAAATACGCTAGAACATAAGTTCTGACCCCCATCCAGGCCCTCATGGAGTACAAGACACAATTTGGAAAAGGAACACAGATACATAGATGTATCAAGACAATGATTTGGAAGAAATTCTAGTTACAAATATGGAAGCATTAATGCTAATGATACCTCCCCCTGAAATGACATTAGTGATAAATAACACCAAAAAAGACAGAGTAAGTATGAAAACTTAAAGAATGTTCAAGAAGAACTTATAGAGCTAAGAATACAGTCACTGTCACTGTTCTCCTGTTGTTCATCAATTTGCTCAAGCGGGCCCAGTAACATTGTGAGACTTGTTACTGTGTTTTGGCATATCGGATATACCACGGGTAGCTTGCCAGGCTTTGCCTCGGGGCGAGATACTCTCTGTAACTTGCTGGGCTCTCCGAGAGGGGCCGAGTATCAAACTCGGGTCGTCCATGTCAGCCGCGTGCAAGGCAAACGCCCTACTCGCACTGCTATCGCTCCAGCACTTTGACTAAAACGTATATTCGGGACTTAAACAATCTAAAAAGCAAAATGGAAAAAGCTGAAAATCAAATAAGAGATATTAAAGATTAAGTGGTGGAAACCATCTGAAAGACCAGAAAAAAAGAATACAGAATTAGGAACAATGAAATGATATAAAGCTTTATGGACAGCACTTAGAAAAGTATTTGAATTATGGGAGTTCCAGAAAGAGGAAAAGGCATAATTCTTATTTGAAGAAGTAATAGTCAAGAAAGCAACAAAGAAGTTAAGAGCCACATCTAGGAAGCTCAAAGAATTCAAAACAAAATTAACAAGATGCACACCAAGATGTGCTAAAATAAAATATAATTAAAATACCGAAACTCAAAGGTAAAGAGAGAACCCCAAGAAAATAATAGAAAAACACTGATGACAAAGTAACTCACATTAGATTTATAACTAAAATACATAAAGAACTCACAAAACTTAAAAACAAGTAAACAATCTCTAAAATAATTTTAAAACCCTTCACCACAAAAGGCATATAGATAAATGGCTGAGAAGAATGAAGAATATTATTATAACTTATTTATCCATTAAATGCAAATTTTAAAATGAACTCTAACTCCATATCGCTAGGAATGGCCAACATCCTAAAGACCAGGATAAGTGTTGGCATGAAAATGTAGAAGCAGAGACCTTCATACACTGCTTGCTAGTAGAAGTATAAACTGATTACTCTCTGTGTAAAACAATACAAAGAATTTTCAAAATGCTAAATTTATATCTTTTGTGTGATGAAGCACTTCCAGTTCTAGGTATCTGTGCAAAGAACACAAGTCAATACAAATAGTTTATGGATACATAGGTTTGTTTACATGAACCAAATCCTGGAAAAACCTCAACAGATGAATGCACAAAGAAAATGTGATAAAATTTACACAATAAAATGCACACTGTAGCACTATAGCACTGTCACCCTGTTGTTCTCCATTGTGAGACTTGTTGTTACTGTTTTTAGCATATCGAATCCACTACAGGGAGCTTGCCAGGGATGCTGCAGTGTGGATGGGATACTCTCGGCAGCTTGCTGGGCTCTCTGAGAGGGAGGGAGTAGTTGAACCCAGGTTGGCCACGCTGTGCTATTGAAAAGATGAAATGACCTCTTCTAACAACATGGATGAAACTAGAATAGGTCATGATAAGAAATAAAAGTTAGAAGGAAAAAGCAAATACTGAACACTCTGATATGTATGTAGGGAGAGGAGAAGCAAGGTGAGAGAGTACAGGGACAAATGAAAACAGATCCTTGGATTCTGAACACAGAATCTAAGGAACCAAAGTGGACAGGAAGTTTAGAGGGAGTGGGGAATATATCTTATAAGCTGTGGTGGGGCAATTTTGGACTTAGCTTATGGATGTGGTATGACAACACGTTTTGAAGAAGTGTGAAATTATACTCCTAAAACTTGTAAACTAATGCTGATCAGTTTAAAAAGAGAAGAAATTAAAAGCAAATTAATTTATTTGGAGAAGATATTATCACTACAACTTCTTAATTTGAGGAAAATTGGAAAGCAACAAGAAATTGCAAGGGAACCTGACAAGAGCATAAGAGGGCAATATAGATTCAAGATAGTTTTCTCTTTAAAAGGGTATTACAATCTAAACAAGAAAGCTTGCTGCAAATCAAGTCACCTAACCTCATTTATTCATTTATTTATTTTTGCTTTGGTTTGTTTTGGTTTGGGACTGGAGCGATAGCACAACGGGTAGGGCATTTGCCTTATACGCGGCCGACCCAGATTTGATTCCTCTGTCCCTCTCAGAGAGCTTGGCAAGCTACCGACAATATCCTGCCCACGTGGCAGAGACTGGCAAGCTTCCCATAACATATTCAATATGCCAAAAACAGTAACAACCAGTATTACAATGGAGACATTACTGGTGCCTGCTCAAGCAAATTGATGAACAGGAGGACAGTGCTGCAGACAGTGCTTGTTTTGTTTGGAACAATAACTGGGAGTGCAAAGGGTCTGTTCCTGGCTGAGAGGTTCAAACCAGAGTCACTTGCAAGTCATTTGCCTTATCTCCTGTATTATCTTTCAAGCCATCATTTATTAATTTAAAATGTTAATTTAAGATCTAAATCCTATGTACAATATTCTATCGATTTTATTAAGAGATAAATAAAACATGTCTATTGATGTGAGCTGAGTAGTACTCTGATATAAAATTTACAGTTTGCAAAGTTCACTCTATTAGCTGTTTAGAAAAATTCTCAGAGATTGAGATCAGAAACAGAAATACAAGGTGCCACTATACTCATTTAATTGACGTCACAGTGATAGAAAAAGTGAGAAATTGCCACTTTCAAGACTCATAGTGACAGAATTTACTGGTAGGTAGGATGTGGGGTTCAAATTGTCAAGGATGTTTCTAAGATTCCTGTGTTGAGCATATAGAAGAATAAGAATGTCATTAACTTATATAGAGAAGAATAAAATGAAAAGACTTTGGTTTAAGATGTTTAAGACAAAAGAAGTTTTTGATTGCTATTAAAAAATCAACGTGAAGAAGACAGAATGATAGTATACTGGTTAGGGCATTTGCCTTGAACATGGCTGAGCTGGGTTCTGCTCCATGCATCCCATATGGTTCCCTGAGCACTGCCAGGAGAAATTCCTGACTGCAAAGCTAGGAGAGTACCTCTGAGTATTGACAAGTGTAGTCCCAAAGCAAAACAAAATAAAACCAAATTTACTTAGATCTATTTAAGGAACTGCTGTGTATAAAAGGAATTATAATTTTACTGTAAGCCTATTGACTTGAGTTCTGTGACACTTATATCATTATATATTTTTTCTCTTATGAAAAAGAATGATATATTAAAAAAACAAAGCAATAAGGCATGTTTATAGGAATCATAAGGGTAAATAATCACTGACTTAGATTGTCTACCTCATATTCAATCAATTGCATAACTTCAACGTACATGATAGCTTTCCTCTATAGAATACTGCAAAGATTCAATATTGTAGAAATGAAGTAATCTGTACTTATGTCATATGTGATAAAACTGACAGTTTGAGATATTAAAACTGGTATAGTAGTTTGCTCATTTGAATTTTGTTATATATTTTATACAATATTTTTTTATAAAGACAGCTATGACCCTGGTTAAATTTTCCGGCAACACACAAGGTCCCATAAATACCAACAAGGGTTATTCCTGAGCACAGACCCAGAAATACCTCCTGAGCACTATTGGGAGGAGACCAAGGGTCCTCAGAATTCTCCTAGAAAGAAATAAAATGACTAGGGTTTTGTACCAGTGTAATTTGCAAAATCTTTCTGCCTTGAGGAAGATCAGATCCCATTCAAATCTATATAATCATTGAGGAGAAATCACAACAATAAACAAAATACCTATCTTTTAAAAGTAATAAATCATAAATATATATAAAATATACTTTCTTAAAGAAGGAACTATAGTTTACAAATAAAGACATCATTACCTCTTTCTGTATGTCTTCTGAGTCAAATTCCAAATGATCATACATATAACTTTCTATTTTTTGTGGGTTTTTGAAATATTCTATTATGTATTTAAATAAAGCTTGTTGCAGCTGTTCCTTATGCTAAATAATACAATAAATAAATATTATGGTTAAATAAAAATACATATTGCTACCTTCTGTTTAAACTAAATATGAGTTGGGAAATCATGTTCAATATTATTTGTTTATAGAAATAGTCAGAAAATCAGTTAATTCAAAGTTAAAACAGACTTTCAGTTCTTTTAGTTAACTTATTAACTATTAAAGAATATGAAAAGAAAATGTATCTTTTAATAAAACTAAAACATTGATTAATTAGTAAATGATCCTAACAGCAATATATTTTATATTACTTCACATGATCATACACCTAACTTTTAAAAGAAATAAAACTTTAAATAGTCCTACTCTTTTTTCTGATTATTTAACAGATATATCTGTTTAAAATAGTTTCAAAATTACTAACTTGATGTTAAATATTTCCTGTATATTAATACTAAAAGAATAGGGCAATGGGCTATCATCTCGCAAAGGTGAGAATAAAATATATCAAATAGATTGGGTACAAAAGTGTATGTGATGAGAAAGGAACCCTCATTCACTGTTGTTGGGAAGGTCACCTGGTTTAACTTTAGGGAAAGCAGTAGCACTGGAGCACTGTCCTCCTGTTGTTCATTGATTTGCTCAAGCAGACACCAGTAACGTTTTCATTGTGAGACTTATTACTGTTTTTGGAATATCAAATACACCACAGGGAACTTGCCATCGTGTGGGCTAGATACCTTGCGGGCAGGATAGCTTGCCAGGCTCTCTGAGAGGGACAGAGGAATGAAACCCGGGTCAGCCGCATGCAAGGCAAATGCCCTACCTGCTGTGCTATCGTTCCTGCCCTGTACTATCGCTCCAGGGAAAGTAGCATGATGATTTATCAAAAAATAAGAATCGATCTCCCATATAACCCAGAAATTTTAGTTTCTGGCATCTACCCTCAAGATACCAAAATATTAATTTAAAAATAAATATGAACACAAATGCATTTACAATATTAAGGACAATAGCTGGGACATGGACACAACCCAAATATCCAACTATGAATGAATGGATCAAGAAATAGTGATATTTATGCATAATGAAATACTACGCAGCTGTAAGAAGAAATAATGCCATTTGCTGCAAAACTGGATGAAATTGAAGGTTATCATATTAAACAGTCAATTTTTATAAATCAATTACATGTTAATTAGAATAAAGAACAAATACTGGATGTTCTCACTAATCTATGAAATATAGAGAGTCAAATAAATAGAATAGACAATACTAAACAATGATTAATCCTTGGAACTAAAATACAGAACAAACTACCAGAGAGCAGAACACAAAAGGAGAGAGGAGTCTAGACTAAAAGAGACGTAGGGACAGTGGTGGGAGATCAGGAGAACTTTTGTGATTGGGGGGTGGGTTTAGCAATTTTGTACACTGATATCATAAACCTTAATAATATCGTAACTATACTCAGGTGTAATAATTTATTTATTTATTATAATTAAATTTATTTTATAAAATATAATAAGTAAAAACAAACAAGTTTTTTAAAACAAGTTTTTTGAAATATATGTGCATGAGTATGGAAAAGTTCACATGACAATGACAAATAATGACAATGATAATCTTCTATAACAAAGTTTCTTCTCTGAACAGATCCTGCCCATTGTATTTTAAACAAAAACTTAGGCCCTACTTTTCCTCCTCAGTGTTAAAATGTCTCCATAGAAGTCTTATTCCATCTCTCCTGCTAAGAGTGTACACTAATAACCTGCCCTCTTCCTCACAGAAACTCCTTCAGAGTCTTCCTAGCCCCACAGTTTTTAAATTAAGATAATGATATTGGTCACTTGGTTAATTTTAACCATAAAAAATCTTCTAGATTTCTTATTAACAATTTAATCTAACTTACCTCTTCAAAATATACCTTGTGGGAATAGTTACTTGAGGCATAAAATCCATAAATTCTCAGGACATCTGATTCCATTCCAAAAGGCAGTACAATATTTATTTTCCTCTGAAGAGCTTGAAGGATAAAAATGTTTAAAAAGTCTGTTTGGTGTGATGTTATTCCCTTGTCTGACACAACTAAGAAATGTGGATAAAAGTCCGTAAGAAACAGTTCCCATTCTTGTGTCAAACAATTGGAAAATTCTGAGTGAACAGTAATATCAGTATTGCATTTTAAATGTTGTATCAGTGTGGTGCGAAGGACCAGAAGTTCAGGGACATCAAAATACAAATTTTCTACATCCTGCATAAAAAGAAAACCAATATTAATATTAGAGATAAAATTAGGGCAACTAGCTATTTTTCTATTTGCATTGCTTGCAAATTGTTATACTAACATGTTATAAAGAGTTACAGTTTAGCAATTAAAATGTATTTCACTGAACAAATATAAGATAATCAGTAATTTTCCTATTGATAACAATTTTTGCATGATATATCAATAAAAAATTTAATTATAGTATAAAAAAGCAAAATTTCTTACAAAGAAAGTAGCGATCAAAATTTTAAAATACTTTTCCCCTTAGGTTCTGTGAAATGAAGTAAAGAATGAAAAACTTTTCTTACCTTAAAGAAAACAATTTCAAATTTAGCATCCTTTTGAATGAAATCATGTAGAAATTGTTCAACAACATAGAAGAAGTGGAGAGTTTGTCCTACTTCCAAAGTCATATTTTTAAAACAAGTGATGAACAATGAATCTCCATCAATCAAAAAACACTCAGATTCAACAAAGTCGTTAAGTAAGCTTCTCATGCTAAATAAAAATATAAAACATGCAACACAAACTTTGTTAAGATAATAGGCTTGAAAGAGAAGTCTGTATTTCTGCTGGTTACACAAAACGTCTTCTAGCTTAAGAAATTTAGAGAGAAATGATAAATTGCTATTAACATAAATTGATATTAAGAGCAACTTATCATAGTATTTTTATTCTCTTATAGAAGAAGCAAGCCTATAACTAGATATTTCACCCATGCTATAAAAAACTAAAATTTACTTGTGCAAGCAAACATTTATGCAAAATGTAGATCTCAATATTTTTAAACAAGGTATAGTTGATGATGTGATTTTTCCATTTCAAGTGTGAAAAACAATATATCCCTTAGTCAAAATATTTGCATAGTATTATCTCATTGTGCCTTTAAAAGGTATCTGAGAACTCTTTACCCTGCAAACAATTATGTAAAAAAAGATTTCTATAACTTATAGATTCCTTCGGGGGTATTTTTGAAACTTATCTTTGTGCCTTCTTAGACCCAATCACTGACTTTAATTCAAGTATTAGTTTTCTCTTCTTAAATTTTGTTTTGTCTTGAGTAACACCTGGCAGTGCTTACGGATTACTCCTAGCTCAGTGCTCAGGGACAACTACTGATGGTGCTCACAGGACCATATGTGGTATCAGGGATCAAACTGGGGTCAGTTGCATTTAAAGCAATCATCTTACCTTCTACATCTCTCCAGTCTCATTGTTTAAATTTTTTATAATATTATAAGCTCTAAATATTTATCAAAAATGTAAGGTCATTATATATGTTTTCTGTAAATTCTTAACTCAATTATCAATTACTATTAATATTATATGGTTACCAAAAAGTATTTGATATCTTAACTTTATGTCTGCTTCACAATGTTACTATATATCCTTCTTTCAATAATCTTTAAATTGTTCCTTTTTTACTGTAAATGACGTTTTGGGTGTTTTGATTTTGAAGTTGTACCCAGTAGTTATAGTATATCTATTATAAATTATTTTAATATGAATATGGATATAAATTTCATAATTTTAGACTAAAACAATTGCGTATATAAAAGTGTTCCTGTCTCTTTACCACTGAATTCTTATTTTGTTATTTCTAGCATACTAAGAAGCATATGCAAGTAATTGTTGAAGGAACCAGATGATAAAGTAGTTTGGTGTATTCATCCATGATGATATTTTATGTTATTTTGACATTAGTCAAACTTACCAAGGAAAATTATATAATGCAGTCATGTTTTGTTATGGAACAAGATGCAAATTGAATTGTTATATTAGACTTTTTCAATATTGAAATAAATAATTTTCTTCCTATTATACCACTCTTCAAGGTTTTTAATATCTTATACCTTTCAATTGAGCAACTACCATATATTATAACCCCTCCTTAGAAAAATTACATGTTTTCAAATATACTAATATATTTTCCCATTTATGATTTCTATATAAGGTTCTTATCCAGAAGAAAGAATGTGTATGCCAATTGCACTTAATATGGTATTAAACAATGTATTAGTTTTAATAAATTGTGTTGTACTTACTGGGATTTTGATAGAGTACCCGAAATAAATACTGAGAGCTCCTTGAGAATACTTTTACTTTCCAATAAAGATAATCCTTTGAAAATAAATAAGATGAAAATAAATAAGAAAACAAATAAATAAATAATGAATCACCTGTATTCCCCTAATTCTTTAAAAATAAATAAGACCTTGCATTTCATTTATTTTTTTTATTTTTTTATTAGTGAAACACCATGAGGTACAGTTATAGGCTTACAAATTTTGTGCTTGGGTTTCAGTTATACAATGATCAAGTGCCCATCCCTCCACCAGTGCCCGTCATCCATCACCACGGGTCCCAGCATCCCCCTCCACCACCCCCGCCCCCCCCCTCCCCGTCCCATCCTGCCTCTGTGTGGCAGGGTATTCCCCCTTGTTCTCTCTCTCTTCCTTTGGGTACTGTGTTTTGCAAGAGAGGCATTGAGTGGCAATCATGTTTGGTCTATAGACTACTTTTAGCATGCTTCTCCCACCCTGGGAGGGTCCTCACAACACCCTGGAGCCAGAGCAAAAGTACAGTGGGTTGTATGTTTGCTTTGCACATAGTTGACCTGAGTTCAATACCCAGCACCGTGTATTAGCCACTGAGTAAACACTGAGTGGCAGCTTCAGGAACACATATTGAGCACCACCACCAGAGCCCCAGAACCAAAAATGTAGCACTGTGGCACTGTCCCACCCCCACCTCCCCCATTGTTCATTGATTTTTCTCGAGCGGGCCCAGTAACGTCTCCATTGCGAGACTTGTTGTTACTGTGTTTGGCATATCGAATATGCCACAGGGAGCTTGCCAGGCTTTGCCATGTGGATGAGATACTCTCAGTAGCTTGCCGGGCTCTCCTAGAGGGGCGGAGGAATCAAACTCAGATCGGCGGTGGGGGGGAGGGGGCGCGTGCAAGGCAAACGCCCTACCCACTGTGCTAATACTCCAGCCCCAGAACCAAAAATAAATCCATAAAATTGTATTTAAATAGCGATCAACTTTTATTGCTAACTAAATATATCTAAATTTTATGTAAGATAGTATACCTATGGCTAAAATATTTAATAAATTATGAAAAGATAGGTATGTTAAAAATGAGAACATGCTTATACTACTTATAAAAGCAATTGTGTTGAGGTCCAGAGATGTGACTTAGCAGTAGAGAACTTGCCTTGCATGTGTGAGACTTTGTGATCAGAGTTGACACCGTAAAAAAAAAAAAAAAAACGAAGGGATTATTATAAACTGGGACAGAGAGATCATAGAGTGAGTAGGACTCTTTCTATGCCCTTGACCAAGTCAGGTTTAATCTCCAACACCACATATGGCTCAGGAATTAACTCAGAGCACAGCTGGGTGGAGCCTCCAACCATATATATACATGCGTGCACATGCGTGTGCGCACGCACACGCACACACACACACACACACACACAAAATTAGTTCAGTCAAAAAGATCTTAAATAGAATCAATTCTGTGAAGAAGGAGAGAGAGAGAGAGAGAGAGAGAGAGAGAGAGAGAGAGAGGAGGTAGAGAGAGGAAAAAAGGACGGAAAGTAGAAATGAGAATGAGCAGAAGCTGAAACATGAATAAAAGGAACTGGGGAAAAGGGAAGGAGGAAAGGAAAAAACATACATGAGTAATTGTAGGATAACCTTGGTTTGTCCTTTCTCCCTTGTCACAGGGAATTCAGGTTTGTCAGGTTACAACCATCACAGTGCTCCCGAAACACTCCCATTTCTCTGTTTATCTGTTACCTCTTTCTTTTTGTCCCAGGTCAATCACCTGTATCCCCTAATCAGACTCTGTTGACATGCAAGGTCAGATCCTTCTAAGGACACTGGATTTGTATTGTAAGTTAAATATTGTCATTCTCTTCTTATGTCTTTTGCATAGTTACTTCAGAGCAATGTCCTTTTTGTATAGACACAGTAAGACAGTAAATTTTATGCTTTTGTAACTTGGAAGTTAATTGACTCCGAATAATATTCACTCCTGGGCATCTGCATTCTCAACTTAAGCCTCAGCTGCCCTTACTTCCTAGCACCCGAAAAGCAGGGTCCCAATAAGGGACTGGATGGACCTACGGCAAGCTGTGAGCTACCCTGGCATCAAAATGGGCCAGGCCAAAGCCACAATACTTAACTACAAGTTAAGAACATGATTATGGAAAAGCTCTGTCATGATTCTGTCATGATCCAAAAAGTAACAATGACCCTGCTGGGGTTAGGAAAGACTAATCTGGCCTGAGCACTATAATCTGAGATCTATAGTGAGATGGCCCCAGGAGAACAATCCTATAAGCTAAATGTATCTCTTACTGTGTCCATACAATATGACAAAAATTATGAATGTTTGTATTTTTGTTGGACTAAGGGAAGGAGAAATACACCCATAGATGGAATTTCACTCTTGGGTGGGTTTCCTGCTGAATGAGAGTTTATCCTAGAAGAAGTTTCCCCTGAGGGAAGGATTTTACCTCTGTTGATTGTATGACCATACCTATGTGTCAATGTTACCCCTCAACGATTTGGGATTTAAGTAAGACTGGAAGAATGGTCAGGGGGAAGATCCGGTGGAGAATAAGAGGAGAATGAAGTAGAATCAGAGAGAAAGGGAGAATTCAGGAAAATCGGGGAAGGCAGAAGGAGGATGAAGAATGAAGGAGGAGAATCGGGAAGAGAATGAAGGGGATCTGGAAGAAGAGGAATGGAGAGGAGATTGGAATAAACTGCAACTGACCCAACCAACATGGCCCTTGTTCCCTTCTTCATCCGCCCATCAACATCAGCAGCCCTGGAATGGGGAAAGTAACATGAGACCACCGAATGCAGACAGAGAGAGAGAGAGAGAAAGAGAGAGAGAGAGAGAGAGAGAGAGAGAGAGAGAGAGAGAAAGAGAGAGAGACGCAGCTTCGTATTTAGTTTTCGAATACACAAGTAATACCTCACCTGAATTTTCTAAATCATAACTTTCAGCAACTGAAGATGACTCTTCTGTTAAGTCCTCTGTGTTTAGATCTTCTTCTTCTTCAGATTGATCAAATGATAGTAAATTTTCTGTGGCATTACTGTCATCAATATCGTGACTTTCAATATCACTCTGATTTTCACTGTCTGTATCATTAAAACTCAAATTTGCATTTGAAATATGTAGTGCAGAAGCCATAATCTATGAAAGCAAAGTAATTCATTATCACTTTGTTTAAAATTATATAAAAATATATCTACTTGTTTGAAATGCAAGATCCATTTCATCCTTTTCACGGTAAACTTTTTCAATCTCTACTTGAAAAATATTTTGCAGTCCTCTTCCTACTTACTTTTTTAAATGAAGTATCACAAAAAGGAAATGAAAGTTTAATATTAGGGCAAAATTTATTCCCAAAAAATTATATGGTAATGTACATATATATGTGCCTTGTGACATCTCTTTAACAAAGATATATTTAAAGAATTACTTTCTCAAAAAAAGTAAAAATTAGTCAAAACTTTTATGTACAGATTTACTTTGGAAAATTCCCAAAAATAAGGCTCTGTAACTTTTAAGTATTACTTCAACAATATTCTTTTCCTTCAGAGTTGAGTAAAGAGTATACCAGATACCTTTTATTATCCTCTAATTAAGGTAGAGGCTTATTGGTTTCTGTACATTCAATGACTAATCATTTCATCTACTGAGTTCATGAAACAAATTGTCTCATTGGTCTCTAGTCCTCCATTATTTGCTTATTTTCTTTTTATTAAGATATTATTTACATGTATTAGTGTCCAGTACACAAGATTATAGTTGTATATTAGTAAATATGAAAAATGATAACCAAAAGAAGTATATTTACTGTTTATCACCATGTAAAATTAATTTATCTTGTGAGAAAACAATATAAAGCAAATCCACTTTTAGTATTTGCTTTTTTAGCTGCATTCAGATTTTCAATACAATATTGACCATAGTCCTCATGCTATAATTATATTCCAATGACTTAGTTATTTAAAAATAGAAAGTTTGTGCCTCTTGAAGTTCTTAATTCATGTCACCTTCCTCTCACCACACCCCTGATTTCTGGCAGCCACCAATACATTCTCTATATTTGAGTTTAGTTTTGTCTATTTTTAGATTCTTCATATAAGTGAATTCATGTAGAATTTTTTTCTCTGTTTGATTTCTGTCACTTAGCAGAGCACCAACAAAGTCCATTTATTATATTGCAAACATAATTTCATATGTGTTCTACACATACATACATTTGTAAAATGTTTATGCGTATGTACATTTATTTGTGTATCTATGTGCATATTTGAAAAATATGTATAAGTACACAGTCTTCATAACTACTCTTCACTCATCCTTCAGTAATGAATGGAACATATAGTTTGCTTTCATAAGTTAGATATTTATAAATAATGTAGCAATTCACAGGTACATTTCTTCTCAAATTAGTATTTTAATTTTTTTCAAATACCCAGAATCAGAATTTATGAATTATAGAATAGTCCTATTTTAAATATTTTTAGAAATATTTTTTTATTAAAGCACATGATTTAAAAGTTATTTGTAGTTAAGTTTTTTTGTTTTGTTTTGTTTTTGCTTTTCGGGTCACGCCCGGCGATGCACAGGGGTTACTCCTCGGTCATGCACTCAGCGTGCAAGGCAAACACCCTACATGCTATGCTATCGCTCCAGCCCCCATAGTTGAGTTTTAGACATACAATATTGCATCACTGATCCCACCACCAGTGTCAGCTTCCCTCCACCAGTGTTCCCAGGTTCCCTCCCATATTTCACCATCCTCAACCCTCTAACCTGCCCTCTTGACAAGTGCCTTTCTGGGTTTGGTTGTTAAAGTTGGTGTCTCTTAATTTCAATGTTGTTGACTCTGTGGTTTGGATATTTGGCTCTATCATTCCTTAATACCAACTTTGTACTTTATTCCCTTGGCCTGAACCCCCATTACTTTACATCCGTATCTTCTCTCACTCCGCTACATACTTTCTTTCCTTCTCCTTTCTATACTTAAGGTTGGGCATCCCCCTTTCAAAACACCGCATTTTCTCATCCAGTTATTCTAAATACCACATATAAGTGATATCATCCTGTATTTATCCATTTTCTTCTGGCTTACTTCATTCAACATAATGTTTTCAAGTTCCATCCATATTGCCATGAGATGCATGATTTTTATCATTCCTTACATCTGTGTATATTCCATTGTGTATATATACCAAATCTTTATGATCTGTTTATTTGTTATTGGGCATCTAGGTTGATTCCAAATTTTAGGTAATGCAATGAATAATGTTATGCATATGGACTTTTGAATAAATGTATTTCTGTTCTGGGTATAAATATCAAAAAGTGGAATTGATGGATCATATGGAAGTTTAGTCCTGAGTTTACTGAAAACCCCCTATACTATTTTCCATAGGGGTTGGACCAAACAACATCGCCACCAGCAGTAGATGAGGGTTACCTTTTCACCACATCCCTGCCAACAGAGCTTGTTCCACTATTTTTGTTTCGTTTTGTTTCATTTGTGGGGAGGCAAAGAAACTTTTTAGTTTCATATAGTCCTGTTTGCTTAGTTTGATTCTGTAGTCTAAGCCAATGTAAACTTATCTCAAGGTTCTTTTATCTTTTTAAAGTAGACTTTTGTTTAAAGTGTGAAATATCTATATAGTTTTACTATCTTACGTGTAGTTTTCCAATTCTCTCAAAACTGCTGAAAATTATGTCTGTATTTCATTTCATACTCTCAGTTTCCTTGTCAAAAATTAGCTAAGCATATATATTGGTATTTATTCTTGAATATTCAATTCTGACACATTGGTGAGAGATTCTTTTTTTGTTTGTTTCAGTACCATGCTGTTTTGATCATTATGGCTTTGATCAGTATAGCATCAAGATAATAAGAGAGATGTCCTTCAAGTTTCTCGTTTTTCAGCATGGTTTTGACTCTGCTGGGTCTTTTATAATTCCACACAAAAGACTTAATAAAGTGCAATTCAATTTCTTTGCTTGTGATTGGTCTCTTTAAGTTTTCTACTCCTCCTCATTCAATTTTAGGAGATTATATGTTTCTAAGAATCTGTACATTTCTTCTAGATTCTCCAGTTTAACAGAGTAGAGTTGTTGATAATAAGCTCTCTTGGTGTCTTGGATTTCTGGGAAGAATGTTGTAATTTCTTCCCTTTCGTTTCTGATTCGACTGATTTGAGCATTTTCTTTTTATTCCTCGTGAGTCTAGCCAATTGTTCATCTATCTTGCTTATTCTTGCTTAATGTCTGTTGCTTGTGAAATAAGTGTTGATTTTAAGTCTTAATAGATGAGGCTCAAGCATTTTAATGTGCTTGGAGACTTGACTGGGTTTCTATCCCTATCTGTGACTACATATAAGTTCCTTGGTTTCCCTTGTGTTCTTCAAATTTTATGGGTATTAATGGTGTAAGTTTAGATTTCCAGTTACTTGAGAACAGAACTCAGTTAGTTAGTCCAGGCTGCTACCCCTGCTCTCTGTTGTTCAAGTTCTTTTCTTATTACACAATGTTGTTTGAATATGGTCCTGAAAAATTGTGAACTAGCTAATTGATTTGAAATAACTGACATTTAAGTCAATGTACAGACTGTGAAATAGGAATGCCACTCCCCATATACCTCAAATATAAGATATATGCTGTAATTTTGTTTAGAAGTTAGAGTGATGTGAACTGGGGCCAGTGCCTGGCATAAGGGTGGGGTTAGAAGGAACACGGCAGCAAAATGGGGTCTCCAGGTTTTCTTTTTGTGGCTGCACAGGCTTTCATTCTGGGGAGGAGGCTATTTTCAATTTTTAAGGTACGCTCATATTGTTTTCCTAGTGACTAGGGTTTGCTTTTTCTCCTCATCCTTGCCACCACATTATTTCTTTTCATATTGATATTAGTCATTCTGACATATGGTAGCACTGCACTGTAGCACTGTCCTCCCATTGTTCATCTATTTGCTCGAGCAGGCACCAGTAACGTCTCCATTGTGAGACTTGTTGTTACTGTTTTGGGCATATCAAATATGCCATGGGGAGCTTGCCAGGCTCTGCCACGCAGGTGGGATACTCTTGGTAGCTTGCCGGGCTCTCCGAGAGGAATGGAGAAATCGAACCCTGGCTGACTGCATGCAAGGCAAACACCCTACCTACTCTAGTCCTGACATGGTAGGTGTCAAAAAGCTTTTGAGTGTCACATAAAATTGTTTTACACATATCTGTCTCCAGGGTCATCTTCATGAGTATTAACCACTGTAGAGAACATCTCTGCATGAATAACAATCAACTTTAGGGAGACAAGATTGAAACAGCATTTTTCCTCTTGTCCCGATATAGGTCTTTAATTTCTTTTTTGGGAATTTTTTTGATACCACCGAGACAAGGAAACATTATATACATTTATGGACAATCTAAAAGTATGTTGTATTATGTAGTAAACATATGACCAGCAGGAGTAGCAATTCCTGTCTAAAACCTTTCCTTGTGCTTCTTTTGGTGAATTATCCTGAGACATAGTTCTTATATAGCCTCTGAGGAGGCTACAATTAGGAAGTGAATTTTTAGTTTTATGTGATACTAAACAAAGTAGTGTCAACTCTGTGTGTCAACTCAATGACAAACAGAGTTAGATCTTTCACAGCTTTGTTCCTCTTCTCTTTTATCCTTTATTTCTTGAAATGTATAACGTTATTAGCACATATTTTTTTATTTTTTTTATTTTATTTTTATACTAGAAAATGGGCTAGAGCAATAGCACAGCAGTAGGGCGTTTGCCTTGCATGCGACCAGCCTGGCTGACCTGGGTTTAATTTCTCCGCCCCTTTCAGAGAACCCAGCAAGCTACGAGAGTATCTCGCCTGCACAGCAAAGCCTGGCAAGCTACCCATGATGTATTGGATATGCCAAACACAGTAACAACAAGTCTCACAATGGAGACGTTACTGAGCCTGCTCGAGCAAATTGATGAACAACGGGAGGACAGTGCTACAGTGCTGTCACTGTCACTGTCACTGTCCCTCCATTGTTCATCGATTTGCTCCAGCAGGAGAGCATCTCGCCTGCATGGCAAAGCCTGGCAAGCTACCCGTGATGTGTTTGATATGCCAAATACAGTAACAATTGTCACAATGGAGACGTTACTGGGCCTGCTTGAGCTACAGTGCTAGAAATTATTTTATTTTTAGTTTTTTAAATGAATCACGGTGAGTTACAGTGACAAACTTACAAACTTCATGCTTAGGTTTCAGTCATACAATGATTGAGTACCCATCCCTCCACCAGTGCCTGTTCTCCCATTCTCCTCCACCAATGTTCCCAGTATCCCTCCCACAATCCCCACCCACACTCCCCTCCCTTCTCTATCTTAGCTGCCTTTTTTCCCCAGCATGTGAGGCTGGCTTTCAAGCTTGGAGCAATCCTCCTGGGCCTTATCTCTATTATCCTTTGGTGTTATTTTTCCATTCTGTTACTTTATTCCACAAATGAATGCAGTCTTCTATGTCTGTACCTCTCTTCCTGACTCATTTCACTTAACACGATACTCTCCATGTTGATTCACGTATATGCAATTTTCATGATTTCACTTTTTCTAACAGCCGCATACTATTCTGTTGTGTAGATGTACCAAATTTTCTTTAACTAGTCATCTGTTCTTGGTTGTTTTCAAGTTTCTGGATATTGTAAACAGTGCTGCAATGAACATACAAGTGCAGATGTCATTTCTACTATACTTTTTTGCACCTCCGGCATATATTCCCAGAAGTGGTATTGCTAGGTCAAATGGGGGCTCAATTTTTAATTTTTTTAAGAAATGTCCATACTATTTTCCAAAAGGGCTGAACCAGGTGGCATTACCACCAGCAGTGAAGGGGATTCCCTTTCTCCCCACATCCACGCCAACACTGGTTGATTTTGTTCTTTTCGATGTGGGCCAGTCTCTGTGGCGTGAGATGATATCTCATTGATATTTTGATCTGAATATCCCTAATGATTAGTGATGAAGAGCATTTTTTCATGTGCCTCTTGGCCATTTCGATTTCTTTTCTGTTTATTTAATTACCCCATTTTCTGATGGGGTTGGATGTTTTCTTGTAGAGTTCAACTAATGCCTTGTATATCCTTGATTTCAACGCCTTATCAGATGGGTATTCGGTGAATATACTTTCCCATTCTGTAGATTGTCTTTGTATTCTGGTCACTGTTTCTTTGAGGTATAGAAGCTTCTTAGTTAAAGATAGTCCCATTTGTTTATCTCTGTTTCCACTTGCTTAGTCAGTGGTGTGTCATTTTTGAAGATAGTTTTAGCTTCAATGTCATGGAGGGTATTGCCGACCTTGTCTTCAATGTACCTTATGGATTCTGGTCTGATGTTGAGGTCTGTAATTCATTTTGATCTGACTTTTGCGCACGGTCTTAGGTAGAGGTCTGAGCCCATTATATATGTATCTGTTCAGTTTTTTTCTTAAATTTTTATTAGTGAAACACCATGAGGTACAGTTATAGACTTACAAACTTTTGTGCTTGGGTTTCAGTTATACAATAATCAAATACCCATCCATCTACCAGTGCCCATTCTCCACCACTAACAGTCTCAGTATTCCTCCCATCCCCCATGGCCCCATCCCACCCTACCTCTGTGGCAGGGCATTCCTTTTTGTTATCTCTCTCCTCTTGAGTGCTATGGTTTGCAAAATAGACATTGAATGACAATCTTGTTCGGTCTATAGTCTCATCATGCATTTCCCATCCTTAGAGGAACCTTCCAACACCCTTTATTTGGTGCTTCCTTCTCTATCTGAGCTGCCTTTTCCCCTAGCGTGTGCGGCTGTCCTCAAAGCCATAGAGTAATCCTCCTAGTACTTATCTCGGCTATTCTTTGGTGTTAGTCTCCTATTTTGTTACTTTATGTTCGCCAGATGAATGCAATCTTTCTATGTCTGTCTCTTTCTTTCTGACTCATTTCGCTTAGCATGATACTTTCCATGTAGTACCACTTGTATATGAATTTCATGACTTCATCTTTTCTAACAGCTGCATAGTACTTCATTGTGTAGATGTACCAAAGTTTCTTTAACCAGTCGTCTGTTCTCGGGCACCCAGGTTTTTGCCAAATTCTGGCTATTGTAAAGAGTGTTGCAATGAACAAAAAGTGCAGATATCACTTCGACTATACTTTTTTGCCTCTCTGGGATATATTCCCAGGAGTGGTATTGCTGGGTCAAATGGGAGCTCAATTTCTAATTTTTTGAGGATCGTCCATATTGTTTTCCAAAAGGGCTGAACCAGGTGGCATTACCCCCAGCAGTGAAGGGGAGTCCCTTTCTCCCCACATCCACGCCAACACTGGTTGCTTTTGGTCTTTTGGATGTGGGCCAGTCTCTTTGGTGTGAAATGTAGCTGTCCAGTTTTTCCAGCATTTCCATTTGTTGAAGATGCTTTCCTTGTTCCACTTCACATTTCATGCCCCCTTATCAAAGACTGGGTGATCATATATTTGAGGGTGTGTGTAAGGATATTCCACCCTGTTCCATTGATCTGCGGCTCTGCCTTTGTTCCAATACCATGCTGTTTTAATTATTACCGCTTTGTAGTAGAGTTTGAGCTTGGGGAAGGTGATGCCTCCCATCTTCTTTTCCCCAATAATCGCTTTAGCTATTCATGGGAGTTTGCTGTTCCATATGAATTTCAGGAGCATCTGATACATTTCTTTGAAGAATTTCATGAGTATCCTTATAGGGATTGCATTGAATCTTTATAATACTTTGGGAAACATTGCCATTTTGACAATGTTAATTCTCCCAATCCATGATCAGGGGATATGTTTCTGTTTCTTCATGTCCTCTTTTATTTTGTGAATTAGCATTTTGTCATTTTCTTAGTACAGGTCCTTTATCTCCTTAGTTAAGCTGACTCAAAGCTACTTGATTTTTTAAGGCTTTATTGTGAATGGGATTGCTTTTTCCATGTCACTTTCTTCTCATTATTTGCTCATTATCTCATTATTTGTATAGGAAATCCATGGACAATTTTATATTGATTTTCTAGCCTTTGTCATTACTAGACAAGTCTATTATTTATAGGAGTATCTTGGTGGAGGCGTTAGGGTTCTCTAAATATAGTATCATATCATATAATCAAAGAGATCTTAGCATAATTTAAAATATAAACTTAATCTGAATAGTCTACATTATCTTCAATTTCAAAAGAATCTTGAACTCAATTTATTTTAAAATATATTATTTAGTCTTGTTATTCAAACCTTTACCATCTTGAGTATAGCTTTCAAATTCAACTTAGCTATAAAAACCTACGTCTTTTTTTAACCATATCTTAGGCACTAGATTTATAATAATGTTAATTATGCTTTCTATGTATAAATCATCAAACACCATACCCATCACCAGAGACTCTGTTTCTCTCCCCCAGTGTCCAATAATGGTCCATCCAGTCACCCCCACTCCCATGTAAGCTTAGTTCTACATAGATACAATTTTATCTATATCTATATCTTTATCTATACATATAGATAAAGATAAAAATTTTACTTCCAATGACTTTGGCAGTTTATTTTTCCCTAACTTTATATGCCACATACGAAAGGGGTTTTTAAAAATTAATTGTGGAGGTGATAACACCTGTACACATCTATATGATTAAAGCTAAACTCCTGAATTTCCACAAATTTCTAAATCAATGATAAATTTAGAAAATTCTTTTCAAAAGCTATATACTTCTTGTAGGCTCTAAGCAAAAATTAATAGTGTGAATATTTCTATCATAATACATTTCAAAATTAACATGAAATAGATAAAGTCAACAAATATACTTGTTAGTACGAATGAGAATTAAGAAAATTTTAAGGGAAAATTTGAAAAGACCTAAAAATATAAAAGTATGTTTTATCTAAGAAGAGAATATAGACTTTAAATTAAATAATAGTATACTATAGATTATAATTAATTATATGCATTAAAAAATGAAAGATTATACTAAAAATATCTATAGATGCAGCATAGCTACCTGAATATATATAGAAACAAAGCTCTTTGAAAAAAGCAGTTAAAAAATCATTAACCAGATAGAAATAAACACTCAAGAAATAAATAATTTTGTGGAGAGCAATTATAAGCACTGTAATTGAATGCCGGCCTCAATGACAATGTTTTGAGAAGTTTGTTAGTTCTTTCTTAAATGATCCCTGAACATGGGCACATTTTTCCCCTAACAGAATGTGTATACATGAAGTAACAAACCCCCTTCTACCTGTGGTTTGCAGAATCCTTTTTCACAATTCAATTTCCTGCAGCAGAAAAAAGGAATGAGTTCCCAAAAGTAACCAGAAAGATTTATAATAGTACTGATCCAAGCTATTTCTCTAAACCAATCACTGGCTAAGCATATATGCATAGTTTAGTCAGTGAGTTTTAGGTTTCGTTTCTTTGGGAAACAGAGGAGGAAATATAAATAGCTTATCATGGGTTTCATTTATTTTCAGTTTCCCAGGCAACACTCTTTGGAAAGCTGAAACGAAAGGTCAAAGGTGTAAAAGCACAGACTTGCCTTGATATTCAAAGTCTTAGATCAACTAGGCTTGAACTATGGCTTTCTCAGTATTCCTGTTCTGCTGTTTATCTATCTATCTATCTATCTATCTATCTATCTATCTATCATCTATTTATTTATTTTTTGCTTTTTTGGGGGTCACACCTGGTAATGCTCAGGGATTACTCCTGACTTTTTGTTTGTTTGTTTATTTGTTTTTTTATGTAGGAGTACTGCTGTTTATTCAGACTCTGATTAGCTGATTGAATTGGGCATGAACTCCACCTTACTTTTTTTTTCCATAATTTTATTTATTTATTTATTTTTCTTCTTATATCTATTTATTGAATCACTGTGGGAAAAGTTACTAAGCTTTCAGGTTTATGTCTTGGTCATACAATGATCAAACACGTCTCCCTTCACCAGTATTCATTTTCCACCACCAAGAATCCCAATATACCCCCTCCCACCCCTCCCAATGCCTGTGAGGCAGATGATTTCCACTTAACTCTTCTCTACATTAATTACATTCATTATTTCGACAAAAGATATACCATTATTGTTTAGAATTCCCCACCCCCCCAAAAATCAGAATTGCTGAAAAGGCATTGTGAAATACTTTGTTTCTATAGCTGGTTATGAGAATCATATAAACTCGTGTGTCCGCAATAGCAGCATCGTGATTTTGGATTTCTGCAAAGAGCCAGATAATTATGAGATTGATTTCTGTGCGTCTGGTGTTATGGCTGTGCCGAAGAGCCGCTTGTGGGGGGCAACTCATAACCTCAGTAGGACATAAAGGACGAGCCGGTAAAGTCCCCCTACCCATGAGACTGCAGTTGCCCCGTCACTGCTGGCTCATATCTGGCTTTCCAGTAAGCTCTGAGGAGGTGGCCACCTTGCTACCGGGGGAGAAAAAGGCAGAAGGGAGCAACACCCTTTCCCTCCCAGGGAGGCATGGAGCCGTAGTTTAATGCATAGTCCATTCACTTTTCTGTCGCAAGCTGCTGGGTTCTGGGTTAAGTCCTTTTGCCTCCAGAGCCATGGCTGTGCCGGAGAGCCGCTTGTGGGGGGCAATTCGTGACCTCGGTAGTGCCTGAAGGACGAGCTGGTAATGTCCCCCTTCCCATGAGACTGCAGTTGCTCCATCACCGCTGGCTCATACATGGCTTTCCAATAAGCTCTGAGGTGGCGGCCACCTTGCTGCTTGGTGGGTAAAAGGTGGAAGGGAGCAACACCCTTTCCCTCCCGGGGAGTTATGGCACCGTAGTTTAACGCATGGTCCATTCACTTTTCTGCCGCCAGCTGCCGGGTTCTGGATTAAGTTCTTTTGCCTCTGGAGCCATCTGATGAGGCCCCGCGTGTCTTGTCACTGCAGACCCAAACCCGACTGTCCAGTGTCCTCTGGAGGGTGGTGGTCACCGGACCGCCAAGGGGAACAGGCCAAGGCACAAAACCTATTCCCACCTGGAGTGGCCCAGCGCCAGTAACCTACTGCAGAAACAGGATGCATTTCTGCCAAAAGCCTTTGAGATCCGAGATTCGGTTCTGAGTCTCTGGGATCATGGCCGTTAAGCAGTTTGATCAGGAACCAGAGAGGCCATGCCCCCAATTATATAACTGAGCCGGAGGTGGTTTGTAGGTGTGTTTACCACATACCTAACTTTTGGCCATTTACTTTCTTGGTAAACTTTGCCCCAAGTTTTTGGGGTCTGGCCAAAGGCACAGCAGCAATATTGGGGTAACTGAAAGTTTGACGGTGCCATCAGTCTGCTGATGTACTTGCCTCACAGGTACAGATTGACCTGCTGGTGGCATCATACCCTGTACTCCTGACTTTGAACTCATGAATCATTCATGGCAGTGCTCAGGGGATCATATGAGATGCTGGGAATCGAATCCATGTCAGCCACATGCAATGCAAATGCCCTACCTGCTGTGCTATCACTTCAGGCCCTATCTATTTTGAGTCACAGTGAGATAGACCATTACAAAGCTATTCATGATTGGGTTTCAGTCATATGTTTCAACACCCATTCCTCTATCAGGATACATTACTCACCACCAATATCCTCAATTTCCCTACACCCCTCCCCTCTCCCTGCCTGCCTTTATTGCAGGCACCTTTCTTCCTTTCTCTCTCTCTCTCTCTCTCTCTCTCTCTCTCTCTCTCTTTCTCTCTCTCTCTGTCTCTCTCTCCCTCCCTTCCTCCCTCCCTCTACCTCTTTATTTTTGTGCATTATGGTTTGCAATACAAGTAATAAGAGGACTTCATGTTTGCTCAGGGCATTCAAAATTTTTATTGGGAAGGCACAGCTGGAGTAGCTTTTGTTTTTACCATTGGTGGCAGCTTTAGAGTGTGGATGTGATTGCTCAGGTTACTGCAGGTACAGGGAGGTGGGAGAGTGTAGCACATCCCAACCACAAGAAAGCCTGGGGATTTCAGTCACAAAACTCATATAACCAAACTTTCAGTAGATTAATAGTTTTTGAGACCTGTCCTAAGACAATGGGCTCTGGCCAAGGCAAGGCAGCAATTTTGGATTGTGGAAGCAATTTTGGATTGTGGCTTAATGGGCTCTGTATGGGTGGACACCAACTGATCCGACCCCCCTCCAATCTACCCTGGTCTGTTCAGCCTTGCATAAATCTGAGATTACGTGTGGCTTTTGATCTCTTTTGAGATTTTTTTATGAGTCTCTGAAGAGAGGCCGGTAGAAGAGCTTACATGGTAGCGTGAGGGTGACTGCCAGTGATTCCAGGAGTATAGGGAAGTGTGGAGAGGTAACCTATCTCAACTCTGAGGAAGCCTGAAGGTTTCAGTCACAAAAACTGCATTCCTAAATTTTCAGCCGGGCAATATGTTTGTGTTCAGTCAGACCCGAACACCTGAAGAATCTGTCATCAGTATTCATCAATACACTGGATTGGCTCTTCACACACTACCTGTCTGAATGCAAGGTTCCATCCCAATGGAAAATCAGCAGGACTGTTCTACTTACAAGAAGGAAAACATCCATGACATTGGCAACTATTGCCCTATCTGCTTGTTGTCTGTCGTCTACAAGCTGTTCACTCAAGTCATCCTGAATAGGATTGTCAGAACACTAGATGAAGGACAACCATGCGAGCAAGCCTGGTTCCAAAAAGGATTCAGAATGATCAACCATATCCACAAGGTAACCAAGCTCATTGAAGTTTCTCGGGAGTTCAATATGCCACTCTGTCTAGTGTTTATTGATTTAAAGACGGCCTTTAATTCTGTTGAGACTGAAGCAGTCATCGAAGCCCTAGCCAAATAGGGCGTTCAAACTCAATACATCAGGATCCTCCGTGAACGCTATTGTGAATTCACTACCAATATCTCACCATTCTACAAGGAAGTGATCATTGATGTAAAGAGAGGGGTTCGGCAGGGTAGTACCATTTCACCAAAACTCTTCAGTGCCACCCTTGAGAATGTTATACGACGACTGGAATGGGAAGGAATGGGAGTGAAGATAGACGGTTGGCAACTATACCACCTCTGCTTCTCTGATGACATCAGTCTAATAACACCAAACATTAGCCAAGCAGCATAAATGCTGGTCAACTTTGACCATGAGTGTAGAAAGGTCGAACTATAGCTGAATCTCATGAAGACATTGTTCATGAGAAATGGACTCATTCCTGACGTTCCATTTGCTCTCAATGGTACGATCATCTTCAAATGCAGCAGTTATGTGTACCTAGATCGAGAACTCAGCATGACAAATGACCTGGCACCTGAGTTGTGCAGGAGGAAGAGCAGCATGGAACGCCTTCAAGAGTGTCAAAGAAATAGCTAAGAGGTCGAAGAACCACCAGCTCCAGGCATATCTCTTCAACTCCATCCTTCTTCCTGCATTAACATATGCCTCAGAGACCTGGACCCTAGGAAAACAAGATGAGAACGCTACTCAGGTCTTCTAAAGAGGAATCAATTGAAAGAACTATGCTTGGAGTATCACATTTCACTCAAGTGAGAGAAGGAATCCAGAGTTTTGACCTCCGTCAATGATCAAGAATCAGGGACGCTGTCATGTTTGCCAAGGCATAGAAAATCAGATGGTCTGGACATGTAGTGCGTTTTGGAGACAATCACTAAACTAGAGCCGTTATGGATTGGATTCCACAGGACATGAAAAGATAGTGTGACCGCCCACGTACAATATGGTCAGACTTCTTCATCAAGATCCTGAATGAACGGTTTGAGGTTGTTCTTGTTCCTGGAGCAATCAGCCACCATTGGGCTACACTAGCATGCAACAGGGACAAATGGGGACATTACTGGTGCCCGCTTGAGCAAATCGATGAGTAACAGGATGTCAAGTGATCAAGTGATCAAGTGAATATGTTGGTGAGTTCTGTCCCAAGACGGATGACTCTGACTGGTGGGAAGGCAGCAAATTTGGATTGTGGGAGCATACAGAGGCGGGGCTTTATGTGGGCACCAGGTCAATCTATACCCTCTCTGATCTACCCAGTCTGTTCAGCCTTGTGTGGATCTGAGACAACAGCAGCTTTCGAGATTTATTTGTGGATTTCTGAAGCACGACTGATAAATGAGTTTGTATGGCTGAGTCAAAGGTGGTTTGTGGGTGTGGCTCTCACATATTTAACCTCTGACAGTTCAATTTCTCAGGAAACTTGATCCTGAGTTGTTAGAGTTTGACCAGAGGCGCAGTAGCAAATTCGGGATACTAGGAGGTGTCTGAAGGTGCCATCAGGCTGGCTG